GCATGGCCTAGCCCAGGGACTCCCGCACGGCGCACCCACGCGAGACGCGAAGGACCCGGAGGACACCAGGGAGCTGGATGGAGCCGCGGAGCGAGACCCGGAATGGGCGGGCTTCCGCTGCCAGACCCGGAAGCAGGGCGGGGCTTTGGCTCCTGGACCGGGGGCTTCGGAGGCTCAAGAGAGGAACGGGGCGGGGCCTCGAAGTGGAAAACGGAAGTGGGCGGAGCTTGGGGCTAGACCGGGGGACCTGGGCGTGGCCAAGGCGCTTAGATTTGGATGTGGGCGGGTATTGGACCCGAGACCTGGGGTCGCGGGGCGGGGCTTTGGCGCAGTCTCCGGGTTACCGAGAGGCGGGGCTACGGAGGTATTGTGGCCCGGATGTCGGGGTGGTGCCTCTGGGGCCGCTGATACCTTTGCTTCTGCTGGGGAGTTCGCTGTCGGCCGATTTTTTTTCTGCGGGCCGCGGCTTGGGCTGTGGGCGGGAAGGCCGAGCCCTCGCTTGTGCCTTTGGTCCCTTTAACGCCGACGAAACTCATTCCCGTCGGTTGGCATGTAAATGAAAAGCGGGCCTGAGATGTTGAGAAACTTTATTTACATCGAGATGAGTTTGTTAGGCATCTACTAGACGCGATGCCTTTACAGAAGCTTCCAGTTCTTTACCTTCTGGCTTCTCAAAAGATCTGAAACAATTGAGTTTCATGTACTTAGGAAAGGAGAAAGGGCCGGTAGACCTAGGAGTCTTGCGTATTGGTGAAAAATTTGGGAAACGATTGTTAAAGTGTAGTCATATATGACTATTTTTCCACGTTAATTCACATTTAGGCCACAGTTTACGACTTATAGGCAGTATTTTTAGAGGGTCGAGACTCCCATCTGTTCTGTCTCTCTGAGGACCTTTAGTGGCTGTAGCCCAGTGCAATGCGACACTCAGAAGATGCCTATTGAATGAATGAATAGAGTCAGATGTCATCTATGAAAACAGCTCCAATAATTTCTCCCGGTTGACAGGGTCCAAGATGATCTGTAGGTTTGTTTGTTGTTGTTGTTGTTGTTGTTGTTTTTGGGAGAGCTGGGTTTTTGTTGTTTCTGTCTTTTGTTTTTAATTTCCCCCAAGCTTTGAGATCAGGGGATTGATTCTAAGGCAGTGGCTCTCTAATATTGGTCAGTGCCCCAACAACAATCTTCATGAAATTTTTACCTGTCCTCAAATGATAAAAACGAGGACGATGTAGGAAGTTTTTGTTTTTGTTTTTAATAGTTGAATCTGTTTAAAGGCCTGTCCTTTATTCTGCATTAGTGTGATTAAGATGTGTTCTATTCTGAACAAAGGAGGTAATAGAGTGTATGTGCCTGATATCCTGACTGGGCAAAACAAAAAGTGCTGGCCTTCCCTCAGTGCCTTACGTTTTTTAAAAACTTGTTTTTTTGAATTTTATAGTCAAAGAAATTTTAAAGTCTACTCTAGTCATGGGGAGTGTGTTCTTGGTCCCTCAGAGACATGCTGGGTCAGGCTTTGAGTTCTGGGGATCCAATGGGCCCTGCTGGTTGGGGACCTTAATCACAGGGCACAGTATTAGCAGCAAGGTTTGAATGTAACAGTTTAAAAGAAGAAATTTAAAAGTGCCTGAAAACTTTTGTCTAATATCCATCATTTAAAAAGTTGTATTGAGGTATGTCTGGCAAATGCTTCAGCGGTTATTGCATTATTTTTTTACAATCACAAAAGATGTTACTATACTGGCATTTGTTTTTAAAAAGCTGTCGATATTCAACCAGCATGCCTTGGACTTTATTGTGGGAAGACCCTGTTATTTAAAAATGACTCAACTGAAATATATGGAGAATGTGGGGTAAGTCTGATGTTTGTATATTATTTCATTTGTGTCATCTGTTTGCTTTTGAGATGTTTTCACATGTAGAATCCTTTTTTTTGTAAGCCTTAACTTATAAGAGTAGAGAAGCATTAATAAAATCCTTACATTTATTCGAATATTGAAATCTGTATCCAAGCAGGCACAGTGCTACTGAGTTACATCCCCGGCCCATTGATAGTTATTTCTAGTTTTTAAATGACTGGGTGCAGTGACTTACACAGTAAGTTAATGTTACAACTCCAAAACATTTCTGTGCAATTGTTTTTATACAACGTTACTAACTAGGTTTTCCAGCACACCTTGGCTATTTTAGTAACTAAGTAAAAGAACCTTTTATGATAATTTTTACAGATACAGCATACACAGTGTAGATTCTTATACTTATTTTTTAATTTCTAAAAGCTCCATGTGTAAATTTAAATGTTTAAACTAAAATAGAATATGCTATACAACTTCTTGAGGGTGTAAATATTCTAAAACGTGCGTACATGAAAATGTCTCTGTGTTGTAGGTCTGCCCAAGAGGGCAGAGAACAGATGTACAGAAGTACTGCCGGCCTTGCACGGAGTCCCCGGAACTTTATGACTGGCTCTACCTTGGGTTCATGGCTATGCTGCCTCTTGTTTTACATTGGTTCTTCATCGAATGGTACTCAGGGAAAAAGAGGTTAGCACATTCTGTGAGCGGATGGACAGACTGATGTTGGCTTTATTATCATTCATTTTGGTGCTGGGGATCCAACCCAGGCCTTGTGCATGCTGAGCACATTCTCTCGCACTGGTAGGGTTAGCGAATTGGGGGGTGGGGGAGAAGGGCTAGGTGTAGTTCAGTGTGAATGGCCTGGTTTCAATGCCCAGTACTGCCAAAAAAAAATTACATCTTACCATGTGGCGTGAGACTTTACTTGTCAGCGGCTTTGTTTGTGTTTAGAGACAGGGTCTTGCTGTATAGTGCAAGCTGGCTTTGAACTCACTGTGTAGCTCAGGCTGGCCTGAAACTTAAAATTCTCATGCTTTAGCCTGCAGATTGCTGGAATTACAGGTGCACACTGACACACGAAGCTAGCAACAGCTTTTGAAGTAGTTCGGCTCAGGTACAAGGAGATGAAGTCCACTTTGAATGGTTGTGTGAATTTTCTGGGCTTAAAGTATGTCTAACAGGAGCTGGCCTGTCCTTTATAGCAACTCTGTAAGTGTAGTTTCCAGGGTCCTGCCTGAGACATTCCAATTCCTGGAATCGTTTAAGTGAGGAAAATGAACCGCAGTGTTTTTATCCGATATTTATAGTTCACTTACAGTTCTTTCCAGTTCAGATATAACTTACCAACCAGGGTTTATCGTATCATAAGCAGTGTTACTGAGCAATACAGTTGACATTCTACCCTGGTCAGATTTCCAGAGGAGGAGCTAGGGAGTGACTTGATGCTCATGCTCAGGGAAATGTTCCGAAAATACTCTGCACGTATTATCTAATCAGAATCTTTAAAAAAACACAGAGACATTGAGTAGAGCCAGTTGTTTTCTTTGTTTTGTTTTTCAGTTTTTACTTGAGATAGGGTCTCACTAAGTTGCTAAGTTGCCCTTGCTGAGTTTGAACTTGCAGTCCTCCTGCCTCAGTCTCCCAGAGTGCTGGGATTACAGGCAAGCACGACCATGCCTGGCTTAGCGTCAGGTTTTTAAACAGATTCATAGATCCAAAACAGAATAAACAGGATATCCTAAACAGAATAGAAAAAGTTCATATTTGTATGCACTGTAATTACAACGAGAATACTAGAAACACAGTGGCCATGCAGGAGAGAGCCAGGGGCTTCGTTCAGCAGCTCGCTTGCTGCAGCCCTGTGAGTTAGCCACGTGCACACTTTAGTGTGGTGGAACCTTGGAGTGCATCCCAGATTGACATCACACAGCACAAACAACAGCCTCCCTGGGCCCATTTGAGCCACAAAAAATAGAAATAATCAGCGGATGTCATTTCAGATCACTAACTTACAGGGTAGTGTGCTAGGCAGTGATGGGTGATAGAAACTTTGTTCAAGTGGAAGAATCAAAAGCATTTGTAAACTAGGCATTGGAAATAACAAGAAAGTTTAATAAAGAAGCTGGCTCTAAGATAAATATAAAAATTGGTCATCTTTCTATATTCAGAGTACTCCACAAGTACTGTTAAGTCATTCAGACCAAAGTAGGATTTATATTGTATTTGACAAGCTAATTTTAATATTACATGGGAAGAGCAAAAGGCCGAGAATAGCCAAGATCACTGAAGAAGTGATGTTATTATCCTGTTGCCTCACATATAGATAAATCGATCCTAGGAAAAAGTAGAGAAGATAAACTCAGACCAATTATATATGAGACCTTGTATTGTAGAAGCAGCATGGCAAATTTTTATTTATTTTTTTGTACTGGGGATTGAACTGGAGTCCTTGTGCTTGCAAGGCAGGCGCCGGAACCACTGAGCTAAATCCCAGGCCCAGTGTGGCAAATTTGGGGGAGAAAAGATTGCCTGTTCACAAACACTTTATTTCCATTTTTTCATTTTCTCATATTTTTTTCTTTGCCCTTATTCCCTTTCCCCTACCCTTCCCTCTTTCCCTACACCTTTAGCCCTTTTCTTCCTATTTCACATTGTTAATTATCCCATTAGGATCTTGTATACTATTATGGGATTTCACACCAGAGAAACTCTTCGGTGTTTTTATACCAATAAACTCAATAAAAAGAAAAAAAAAAGATTGCCTGTTCAATAAGTGCTGCTGGGATAACCGTACTACATGTCCACATAGCAGAGGGTAGAGTTAGGTGCTACAGTGGGGTCTGTTAGTTACCACTCTTTTGTTGAAACACAGTCCCTGATGTCTGAAGCCTACAGTAAGGGCGGTTTATCTTGGCTTGTGCTTTCAGAGGTTTTAGTGCATAGTTAGAGATATCAGGGCCAAAGGGCAAGGTGGAGAAGAGTGCTCACTTCATGGCAGCATGGAGGGATCAGGAAAGCCTGGGAAAGAGCCAGAGAAGAAGGGGCCCAGCAGCAGGTGTGGTCCCCAAAGTCACTTTCCCATGCCCACCAGGACACGCCCAGAAGGGTGTTTTACTAATCTCTTGGGTATCCCTCAAGCCATTGAAGTTGGCAGTCAGTATTAACTGTCAAAGAGAGTTAAAGATTGAAAAGTGAAAAGCAAAATTTAAAACATTGAGGAGAAAAATAGGGTAATGCTTTCTTTTCTTGAAGTACAAATGAATTTTTAAAACCAAACTTTTAAACTGACAGAAATTTTCAGACAGCCATCTATATTAATTTAGAATATGTTCATAAGAAGACATTACAATAAAGTGAAAGTTGAGCCCCAAAACTGAGAGGAAGACATTTACAGTGTGTTTAACTAACAAAGCAGAACCAACAAGGTGTGATACACCCTGGATTCTCAGCAGCAATAAAAATGACTGAACTTTGGCACTACTGCCATGGATTTGAATGGGGAAAAAATCCTGAAATGACTTACATTAGAGTGGTAGTAAAAAATAAAGCAATGTTAGACAGAGTAGTTTGGAAGTATACAATTGGGATAAAAACTTTAGAAAAGGTGATAAAAATAATTTAGCCTACTAATTGCCTCTAAGCATGTGGGACAGGGAGGAACCAGAATGTTGTACAAGTTGTTTACGATGTTCTAGTTGCTGGGTTATATGGCACTTAGAGTGTTTATTATATTATTTTCAATAATTAATGCATGTTATCTTTTATGTACTTTTATAAAATAACTTAAAATTACTAAAAATTTGAATAGCAGTGACAATATACGAAATTGTAAGGTAGGTTTCTAATTCCTGCTCCTTTGTGATGCCTTTGAATAATACTGGGGCAGTGGTCTACAGAAGGAAGTGATTTATCCATTTTTAGGGAATAAGCCCAAAATACTCAAGTCATTTTCACGTATTTTTCACTTTTCTGATGTTTCAGGATTTCGGTTAAGAATTTTGTTTGTTATCCACACCTTGAACCTCGTGTATGCTGAGCAGAGCCGTCCTGACCCTGCTCGGTGAATGTGCCTCTGCTTTGTCCCCAGCTCCAGCGCCCTCTTCCAGCACGTCACTGCGTTGTTTGAGTGCGGCATGGCAGCCGTTGTCACCCTGCTGGTGAGCGACCCGGTCGGTGTTCTCTATATCCGGTCCTGTCGTGTGTTGATGCTCTCAGACTGGTACACGATGCTTTACAACCCAAGCCCGGATTATGTCACCACGGTGCACTGTACTCACGAGGCCGTCTACCCGCTGTGAGTATCTCTTACCTAACAGCGTCTTTAGAAACTGAGGGGTGTTATACATAATATATTTCACGTATTCCCACAGATTGAGCATTGTCAATACCTCTTGGCACTGGGGGAGAGACGCAGCCGTTGTTTTCTTCTCGTTAGGCATACGTAGCATGAAGAAATATAAAGACATCTTAGTATAACAGGAAAGGTTTGTGTTAATATTGAAACATATATAAACACTTCTAAATGAGCTTTGTCTCTCTCGTGGACTCTGAAAGAAAAACCTTGATAAGCAACAGCGATACGGTATTGTCACAGAGTTTGGACTTTATTTGAAAGAGTATGAGCTTTGGAGAGTAAAGCGGCTTGGATGTAAATTCAGAGTGTGCTGCTGTTGCATTGATAGGAGGGTAATAGCAACCTCTTGTGACCTTAGTTTTCCCATCGGTAAAATGAGGATAATGATACCGTATCCAGTGCTGTGAGGATTAACCAGATGCACACACGGTAGACACCGTGGTGGTGCTGTACATCGTGAGCACTTAGAGTAGGTGGCCTTATTGTTGTGCTTCGGTTATGGTTTTATCATATTTGTGTTTTTTTAAATAAATCTAAGGGCCCGGGGATTTAGCTAGCTCAGTGGTTCTGCCGCCTGCCTCGCAAGTGCTACGACCCGAGATCGGTCCCTAGAACCAGAACAAAACAAAACAACAAAGAAAAGTAACATGAAATAAGTCGAAGATTCATTAGAAGCTTTTGTTTTACAAATACCACATTCTTAAGATTCTATGTAAAATTATGTCAGACTACCTGTTTTTAGAATTTTTGTAAATTGTTGATAAGATATGTTTTTCTTGCTCAAGGTTGAACAGAAAAGTATATTACTTTGTTCTCATAATTGTTGCAAGTTTCTATTACATACTATGCTTAATGAAGTTAGTCCTTTTCATCTAATTCTTAAAATGTCCAAAACACATACAAACATATATATAAAAAGATAACTTTCAAAAAACAAGATCGAGACATGGAAATATAAAAATCTCTTCCATGCCAGCCTTTAAACTCTTCAAATTATTTATGAGCATAAATAAAACAATACTTTATAAATAAAAGACCCATAAAAGGCCTACAATGTCCTCTTTGGTGATTCTTCAATTCATAGAGCTATAACCCTCAGTTTTGGGTAATCTCTTGTCATACACTGTCTTGAGGACTTACAGAATTTAACCTGGTCCTATTTAGAAAGCTTCAGAATGGAATTGCTTATCATATTTAAGTAAGGTAGAGTTATTTTATTAAAAATAAAATTAGACTCACTTACTGGTAGTCATGTTCATAGTGTTTACTGTGAAAATAACAGATTAAAAGAGACATGGCAGATAGATGCTCCCGGCCCACCCTGCACCCTCAGTAGCCACTTCTAATTTTTATTTATTTATTTATTTTTGGTGGTAGGGATTGAACTCTGGACCTTGTGCTTGTGAGGCAGGTGGAAGAACCACTGAGCTAAATCCCTGGCCCTGCCACTTCTAAGTTTAAGTGCCATTGGCTTTTGAAACTGCAGTGGTGATACCTAAGTCAATTAGAATTGCCCAGTTTGTTAATTCAGAGTACACACAAGTGAATAGCATTATAAAATCATGGGTTGAAGAATCCAAATAAATCAGCTCTGTCTGCTAAATCAGTCAAGGGAGTTCAATTATTTAAGAGATGCCAAGCTTGCTGTATGCTAATCAAGCTAATTATGCACTGTAGGAGCCTCTCAGCAACACTTGAAGCTCTCTCCTCCTGCTTTCTCTTGTCCTGTTGTTTTGCTATTAATTAAATTTAATTTGAAGTTACTTTAGGGTAAGAAATCTAGTAAAGAAAATAACCCTAATGAGTGGAGGGGGGGTAATAGAGCCATGTATTTAAGGGCTTTCTTGATTTGCTTTGTTTTCTCATCATGACTTTAATTTTTTCTCATGGAAATATGTAAAATTTAGGTATCTAAATTATTATTTAAAGTATTTATATCTTTTTGTTTCTATTGAATTTTTAATATTCTTTGACTCATAAAATTATCTTTTAACTTATAAGGTATCTTGTGATGTTTGATGCTTTTGTTGATCCATCACAAATGTACTCTGAAATTAGGTAGTTTCTGTTGTTGAGTATTCTTTTCCTGAGTTTTCTTTAAGTGATCCCATAAAAATCTTTATACATAAAGTTTTTTTGTGTATCCCTGGTATTTCCCTTTAATAAATTTGTATGGGGCTGGAGATTTAGCTCAATGGTGCCATTCCTGCCTCTCAAGTGCAAGATCATAAGTTCAATCCCCTGTACCACGTGGGTGGGTGGGGTTGTGCAAGTAAAGCTGATAGGTCAAAGGGTATAGAAACTTTCAAGGTTTTTTGTTTGTTTGTTTGTTTTTTGAGGCAGGGTCTCACTATGTAGTTGAGACTGACCTAGAATTTACTGTGTAGCCCAGGCTGGTCTTGAACTCACAGTGATCCTCCTGCCTCAGCCTCCTGAGTGCTAGGATTACAGGTGTGCGCCACCAAGCCTGGCTTTCAGGGTCTTTTTGATATGTATTTCCAAACTCCCAGAAAAGGAAAGGGTGTGCATTTGTTAGCCATCAGCGAGAATCTGTTTGGCCAGCCTTCCCCGAATGCCAGTGTCGGATGGGTAGAACTAAGACACTTCTGAAGCCTTTGCTAGGATCTCTGATGAACAGATAGCAAGAATCAAAAAGCGTTCCCCCATATTGTTTATTTTATTTTCTCCCCATATTGTTTAAAATGTCACGAACCCTTTGCTTTACAGGTACACCATCGTGTTTATTTATTATGCCTTCTGCTTGGTGTTGATGATGCTGCTCAGACCCCTCCTCGTGAAGAAGATTGCGTGTGGGTTGGGGAAGTCTGACCGATTTAAAAGTATTTATGCTGCACTTTATTTCTTCCCGATATTAACTGTGCTTCAGGCAGTTGGTGGAGGCCTTTTATGTGAGTTTGATAAGTGAAGTCAATGAAATTTTTTATTATTATGTGTAAGAAGCAGTGTTTTCTCTGAACTTCATTTTGCAGACTTTAATCCTTGAAAATAAGCATTATTAGTATGTGTTTTTGCTAAAGCATATAATCAGTCGTATGGAATAGAAATTGTCAAGAAATTGTGGGCAGCTAATTGAAACTGATTTGTTTAGGGAATGCCTTACATTTGAAGCTCATAACCATATGAGAAGATTTTCAAAACCTTAGAAAACAAAGAGTAAAAACTTTTTTGCATATGATATAGATGCAAGTTAGTCTTGATCTATGGTTCACTGTTACACAGTAGTTTCTTAGTTTTTTTTCTCCTGGTACTGGGGAATGAAACCAGGGCCTTCACTGAGCTATATCCCCAGCACTTTTTTATGTTTGATTCTGAGACAGGGTCTCACTAAATTGACCAGGCTGTGGTCAAACTTGCGATTTTCCTGTCTCAGCCTCTCAGGGTGCTGTGATTCAATAGCAACATTATTTAGCTGCTTATAAGTTAATAGGTAACATTTTTTTAAATGGCTGAGAACCCAATTACAGTGTATGAAATAAAAACTTTTACTCTCAAACAAGTTATTCATTAGTAAATGAAAATTAGCTGTTATTGATAATTCAGGATTTCTGGGTGCTGTGTGCTGTATTAACATTTGAGATTGTTCCAAATGAGTTCCGCAGTGTTGAATGATAAGTAGTTTCACAAATTAACATTGTTTTAAAATCAGTTTTTTTAATGTCTGAATGTCTGTTTTCATGTGCTATAAATTTAAAATATTTTAAGAGAATGGTAGTGCTTTGTAGGAAAAAAATTTGCTTAATGTATTACAACTACTGTATTTGAAGTAGAAATTTCTAGAATTTCTAGAATTTTGATAGTAGGGTTAATAAAAGATCTATTCATCCTCTGAGGTTTATTGATGAATGAGCTTTTTGATAAGCATTAGTTAAAGCTGAATTACTCTTACAGATAGATTTTCTCAACCAAGGTTCCCATACTGGACTATAAAACATAAAATTGTTTTAATAATTATTTTCTTAATACTTCCAAGTTTCATTCATTGCTAGTATCATTCTAGATGCACAGGAGAGAAGTTAATTCTTTTTGTCTAGTGGATGCTTTAAGCTGGGGTCTTTAAAGCTGGAGCAAAGATGGATTTCACCTTTTTAAGTGGTTGGAAAAAAGAAAAAAAGAAGACTTATTCATTAATACGTTAAAGTTATATGAAATTCACATTTTACTGTTTATAAAATTTTATTAGAATGAAGGCATGCCCATATACTTATATGTTTTCTCTTGCTTTCACAGTAAAACTAGATAGCTGGGTAATAAAAAAGAGGCTATATAGCCTAGATGGCCCAAAACATCTACTGTCTAGACCTTTCCAGAAAAAGTTTGCTGAATTTGTCTCAGGAATTTAGGACCAAGTCTCATAGAACTTGTTGAAAAAGGATTGGACCGTAGGGAGAGTTATACTATTTTAATTTATTTGATGGTTTGTTCAGAAAATTGGTTTACTTTCCATTGTAACACCAGTATTTGTCTTTCAGATTATGCCTTCCCATATATTATATTAGTGTTATCTTTGGTAACTCTGGCTGTATACATGTCAGCTTCTGAAATAGAGGTAGGAAATCTTTTTCTTTGTTAACTTTTTGAGAAATTTTGATAAGTTTGGGCCAGGGGTTTAGCTCAGTGGCATCACACCTGCTTTGCAAGTGCAAGGTCCTGAGTTCGATCTCCAGTACCAAAAAAAAATTTTTTTAATAAATTTGACAGTTGAATAGTACAAGTGATGATAAGGTCTAACTGATTGTTTCAGTAGTCCTTGGCTGACTGATACCGTTTGGTAACTTTGCGCTAATTGTATAAGTTTATGGAAGATGGTATATATTGTACTATATGTTTCCATGGGATGTTAGCAAAATAATGAAGTAGACAGGCTGTCCTATCCAGTATGGTAAAGAAAATTATTTCACATAATTTACCCACATAGCAACATATAGTTATTGAAATAGTGATACTGATTAACACTATTTTGTTTTACTGTATATTTAACTAGTTTTAAGCTATATTTTATAATAGCCACGCTGAATCATAATTGTGCATTAATTTCATACCCATCCAATCTGTATTATGTTTTATCTTGATTATAGATACTTACTTCTGCTCTATAATATCTCCGATGCTTGGGTGATTAGGAGAACACACTAATAATAGCCACATTAGTTCTGATTCTGTTCCTCTTTTTAAGGTATCCTTTTGGTGTCTCCTAACTTTAGGATTTCAGTGGAAGGCCACAGGAATAAGGAACTTTTTTTTTTTTTTTTTTTTTCTTTTTTTTTTTTTTTTTTTTTTGTTACTGGGGGATCGAACTCGGGTCCTTGCACATGTGAAGCAGGTGGTAGAACCAGGAACTTTGTTTTTTGTTGTTTTACATTGTATATATATATTTATTTTCAGAGTTTTTGTTTTGTTTTTTTGGTACTGGGTTTTGAATTCGGGCCCTTGCGCTTGCAAGGCAGGCAGTGAAACCACTGAGCTAAATCCCCGGCCCCTCAGAGTATTTTTTCAAAAATGTCTTATTTTTTGTAGGGTCAGTGGGGTAGAATAGAACATCGTGTCATCATATTTATATTTTAAAATATTCTATTTTTAAGGAACTAAGCCATTATGAATCAAAAATATTAACAATAAATGTGAAGTAATAGTGTATTCAACTCTATAGGGAAAATGTATTAATCAAAATGGGCATTTTTGCATGTATTTGTTCATATGCAGTCTTCTCAAATTGTCTTTCTGCAATATAATAATGTATGTTTCTCTTTGTTTTAGTGTCATTTAAATGATAGCTATTAAATACATTAATATGTCAGATTTAAGAATTCAAATTTGAGACTGAACTTTGAAGGGTTAAAAATCTAAGACCTTAGGGTCTTACCTACTTTATTAATCTGATGCCTTTGATCTCTGTCTTAAACTGCTCACTACAGTTGGTTAGATATGTATTTTCTTATGATTCGTAACTTTTTATAAAGGTCAACCAGAGAAAATAAGTTAACTATTTGGATTGGTTGCTGTTGACGGCTCTTTTCTAATCTATTAGTGAGCGAGTGAGTGGGGGAAAACACCTAGAAATCTTAGTGATTTATAGTCAGTAAAAAGTAGAGGGACCACAATGTTTTTATGCTGTTCAGTTATTCCCATTTATAGACTGTCTTCATTTCTTTTTTTTGTAATCTTTAACCAGCACTGAAATATTATTAAAGAAGATAGAAAGTTAGTTTTGACACTTCTATCACTTGTAGGGAAAGGTTTGGATATTTGAATAAAATGAGGTTTTTTAATTTTTGTTATTGATAAGAAGTATTCATGAATTTCTGAATTAGCTTGAGACTTGGTTCTTTGCACCTGTTAGCCTTTCTTATGTAAAATGTTCACCATTCTTCATTTAGCCCCTACCTATGAATCAGGGAAAGACAGTTTAGTTCTAGATGAGCTGATGGGCCGTTTAAAGACGTGAGAAAGTTGCAAATTACATGTGAGTGTGTTTATTGGCACACGTAGAGGTTACTTTTCCATTAATCTGGTCCTTCCAATTTCTGCATATCATAGAGTGTATATTAAAGATTAAAAGAAAATCAGGATCTGCATGTCATTTTAGCTCTCTTCTAATTATTCAGGCAGCAGACTCCAGGACTGGTAGAGGTTAAGAGGTTGGCTTTATGGACCTCCTCTGTCCCACCTGTAGACTCATAGGTACAGGGTATCAGGGCGGGAGGAAGCCCATTGGTGTGGAATTTCTAGTTCACAGAATTAGGACTTGACAGACAGGAGTTCTTGTCCTGGTGCTGATGTCGAGTACTTTTATTACAGTAGAAATCCTTAATTTACTCACCTCTGAAGTGTGGTGGATAGACTGGATGAGTTTTAAGTCCTTTTTAGCTCAAATATTTTATAATTCCAAGGTATGATGACTCTGAAAATAAATAAAATATCTAGCAGATTCAGCCTGATAATCTGTATTTCTTTTTTTTTTTTCTTTTATAAAATGATATAGAACTGCTACGATCTTCTGGTCAGGAAGAAAAGACTTATTGTTCTCTTCAGCCACTGGTTACTTCATGCCTATGGAATAATCTCCATTTCCAGAGTGGATAAACTCGAGCAGGATTTGCCCCTCTTGGCTTTGGTACCTACACCAGCCCTTTTTTACTTATTTACCGCAAAATTTACCGAACCTTCACGGATACTCTCAGAAGGAGCCAATGGACATTGAATACGCAGTGCCAGAAGCCTAAGAAGTATTCTTTTTTTTTTTTTTTTTTTTTTGGTACCGGGGATCGAACTCGGGTCCTAGGGTTAGGGTTAGGCAAGGCAGGCCACCAAACCGCTGAGCTAAATCCCCGCCAAGAAGTATTCTTAATAAAAACATTAAGAGATTTTCAGAAAATGTATTAGGACTCTTTTGTCGTACACAGCAACAAAACTGTCGGTGTACCGTGATGTTTGTGACTTAACATACCTTATGGTTAGGCTTGGGAAACAGGAAATGTCGCGATACTCTGTCCGTTAGTAGAATATTATCCGTCACACTCCAGGCCTATGAGGAAGTGAGCCCTGTCATGCTTTTGTGTACCTAGTAATGGCTTGTTTTTGTTTCATCAAGCAAACTTCACTTCAGACATGGAATCTGAAGTCCCTAGCAGCGGGTATTGTGCAGCTTTACAATTTGTTTTTTCACCTGTAGTGAATTACAGACATACTTGTGAAGTCTGATAGCAAACATGGAAATAAAGTATTTTGATTTTGATAAACTATTTATTTTCACCAATATAGTATTTGGGTGGTGTTGCAAAAATAGAGCTTAATTTGTAGACTAGGTTCTGTGTTTAGTTCGGGGGTAGACGTGTTTAGATTATTGCTCCTGTAAAGAAAACAATGAAAAAAGTGTAAGTACAAAAACATCAAATGTTCTGACATTTAATTGTTTTTTGCCATATTAAATATGAAAGTAATTGAAAAATGTTAAGCATTAGTCTTTTTTTTTTCCTCAAATGAATAAATGCATATACTCACAACCACGGAAGTAAAATTAAAATATTCAGGACTTACCCTAGTCTGACCATGTTTATCCACTGTATTGTTTAGAAGGCTATATTTACTTTTTTGCTACTTGATAGGGTTGGACAAATCAATTAAAGCTCACATGTTGAAGACTTCTGTTAATAAGTGCAAAATATGAAAATAAGTGTGCTAATTTTTCTTGAGTTTTGTTTATGCCTTTTGAATTCACAGCAATTATATCTTTGAGTTATTTTGTTATTCTTTTTTAATACATTTCTTTGTAAGAAATGGACTCTTTTTGGTCTGCTTGCTTTTCTTCTTTGCTGTAAGAATAAAAAAAAATTTTTTTTTAAAAATTCTGTTTATCTCACACAGGTTTGGTGGCTTATCCATTAAAATTGTGAGTTGCCCCAACAATCTTTATTTGGATAATCAGTTTGTTGGGTATGCGGGAGGTGCCATGAATTTGATTATCAGGACTTCTAGTTCTGTATATTTGAAGTCATTTTCTCATATGCCCTGTTCTAGCAGAAAAATATGTATGCAAAAGAAGAAATCATGCAAGAAATTATGGTTACAGGTCTTCAAGCAATTTCAAATATACTTAATATTTGCAATTTTATTTGATTTTGTAAAAACAATTATAATGTATAGTCAGTGGGGTTGCTAATGTTACTGAATAGTAAAACGTGGTTATTAAAAACGTATAAAACAACCTTGTCCTAGATCAGCTTTGTTAAGTTTTGACTTAGGAGCTTGTAGGACAGACACTCATGACTGTGCCACTCCATCTGCAATAGATCTCTTGTGTATCCCAACATTCAGGGCGCTTTACCCTCCCATAGGCACTTGTTAGATCTACTGTATTCTAACCTATCTTTACCTGTCTGGTTTTCTCGGGTGTGCTTGTTAAAGTTAAGGGGTGGGTCTTTTCCCTGTAACATCTGGACAGATGCCAGGCTGAGGGGTACTTGTTACATCGATGAGTTGGTGCTGTGACCATGGAGAGGGCTGCATCTGCAAGGCTGCAGTGACGTTTTGTCTAGAAGGGGATAGGAAAGGCTTGTGGAGCTGGAAGAGAACAAATCTTCTCCAGGAGAAACCCTTTTATGGGAGAAGCACATCAACAGGGAGCATTCAAATCTAGTTTCCAGGAGGCTCAGAGGTGGTCAAGTAATTCAGGAGCCAATCTTTCCTCCTACCTCCCTGGGAGGGTAGTAGATCTCAGGGCTCTGACCAGGGCCTAGTGGACCTGATGTTTGTAACTCCTGGTATTTTACAAGAGCAGAGGGAGACATGGAGATGAAGCTGGGACTAAGTCCGCCTTGCTCTAAGCCCACGTGGACCAGTGTCCCAGCAGCAGTGGCAAGTGGAGCAAAGAGAACCCAGGAGTTTCAGCTCTGCTCCATTTCCGTTCCTAGTCCTTCAAGGATCTGTCACCTGATTCCTTGACGGTGTTGTCCTTTCATGCTCCGTAGGCCCCATATCCAGTATACTTGTGGTTTTATATACATGTGTATGATGCTGATTCTCCCACTGTAGTAGAACTGGGCAAGTTACAGCCTAGGGGGTAATTCTGCTACAGTGGCAGACTTGGGTAGTTGCTACAGAGACCTCATGGCTAGCAAAGCCAATGATACTTATTATCTGGCCTACAGGAAGAGTTTGCCAACCTCTGTGCAGCACTGTGAGTTCCGTCTGGGCAGTGTCTTGCCAGAGGGTAGGCACTCAGTAAATGCTGGGTGAGTACAATAAAATATTAACACATGAAACGGAACCTAAAAAAGTGAGATATTTGAAGTATTTGTGTGCCCAGTTATCAACATTTCAGTTGCTGCAAATAGCATTAAATTGGAGTTCTGCCAGTCAAAAAAAAAAATCTCTTGACTGAAAATATATTTTCAGTAAGCATATGTGGTATATATTTTTTTATAAAATTGAGTCTTCATTTTTAATGAAAAATTTGCTTTTCCTGGATTGATCATGTGTAATAGTGTGCATTCACTGTGTGGGCTGGAATGAAGTCAGCCTCTATTCTCCTTTGTGTTTCAGCCCGTGTGGTCCTTAGGCTTTACCGTGTCACAGCAAAGCTGGTCTCCTTTCTGTATGACCACAGAGCACATCAGTTAAATGCTCTAATTCACAGGTTGGCAAACTTTTTCTACAAAGGGTCAGAGTTTAGCTAGCGTTATGTCTAAAGTGAAGTCATTGCACCAATTGAAGATAAAATTGACATGCTTGTGGAGAAATTGGTGCACATGAGACAAGCTTATGAGGATGGATTAACATTTCAAGCCCCAGAAGGAGTTGCTAATTTTTTCAGAGAAAGCAACAGTTGCTGTTTTTAATGCTAAATTCAGCTTAGGAAGAAAGAAAATTTTATACTCAATTTCTTCTGTTTAAGAAGACAAGAATATGTGAAGAGTTAAAAAAAACTGAAAAGGAATTTTGTTTTCGAGACAGTGTCTTGCTATGTAGCCCAAGTTGGCCTGAAACTCATGGTGGCCTACTGCCTTGAGTTTACCAAGTGCTGGGATTACAGGTGTGTACTGCCACATCTGGCTCTGAAAAATGTACTTAAAGAGACTTTTTTGAAAAAAAAAATATACAGAGCTAAGGTTCACTTATCTAGAAAAATTTCTTGGGTGGAAAGGAGAACTGGCAAATACTTTTTGTACTACAACATTCAACTCTGTAGTGAATATCAGTATTCAGTTGAATGTTTATGACATTATTGGGGATGAGTTAATTGGCAGTTTTTTCTTTTGATGTCACCAGCTATAACAAAGTAGCAGAAAAGGGTGTGTTACCAAACTAAGGTGTTACTTACGAAGATCTGTCGGTGATTCCTGTTTTGTAAGCCTACGCAGGTCTTCAAGATTCCCTTGTAGCCAGGAACTGATGCACTCAATTTTTTCATCCCTAGTGAACAGCTTTTCTGTTAGATTTTTTATTTCATGCAATGTATTTTCCCCATCGTGCACCATGTCCTTAAAGAAATAGCATGTATGGGTACTTGAATATAAAATTGTAACAAAATAAAAACATTCTAACTGGGTTATCTCTAAAACAAAATTATATATGCAAAATTGGGTTTAGTTATGCAAAATAAGTTATGTATGGAGCCATCTGACAGAGTTCTATAAAAGAGCCTGGAAAATGGATTACCGAATGAGAAGATTTAATTGAATGCCCACTGAGCTTGCATTTGTAGCTGGGCACAGTAGCAGCGATGGTGGCATAAAAAGCCATTTCACCCTCACAGCAGTACAGAACTGCAGGCAAGATCAAGCTTCAGAGATAGAACTTTGCAATCAGATAGGATCTCAGTTTTAAATTCCCCAATGAACATTTTGTCTTGAGCAAGTTAAACTGAAAGCCTCTGTAGCTTTATCTCAAAAAAGCATTTACTAACACTTTCCCTACCCAGTGTCATAAAGGTTAAACACCGATTTTGTGTAAACTTGGCTACTTATGTAACCTTTTAGTATTTAGGCAGAGTCTGGGTTTAAATCTCAGCCTATATGACTCTAAAGTGGGGAGAGGTAGAGTTATTCCATGGCTAAATAGAACATGAAAATGAGTTTAGAACTGAAGACTCTGCCCTAAAATAAAATGTGTTCAATGTGAGCTAGAAAAAAAGAAAAGAAATGAAGTCTTTCCCTGTTTAACTCAGTGGTGGTATAGGAAGACAGTTTCCTACAGGATTAAGATTTTATAGTGACATTCAAGATAATGGCTACATTTTAATATGTGATGGCCACACCAGCTCTTCAGCTCCTTGCAATTTAGAATATGTGTGTGTGCGCGCGCACACACACACACACATACGCTTATTAGGTGAACATTTTTGTAAGTATGATATGGAGGCACCACACAGAAAAACTCACCTTAACTGTGGCCTGAAATTCTGTCCACAGATATTTATATTGTGCTGAAATAAATTTAAAAATATAGTTACTAAAACAACTTGAACGCTTATGAAACAGATTATTTGTATTTGCTTTTTGAAAATTATTTTTATCTAAAAATTTCCACTTCCTGAATGGCAGGCCAACTGGATCAGACACTCCTGCTGGTGCTCTGTTGGGCACTGCTTCCAAGACCGCAGTACTGCACAGGATGAGCAGAGTAGTCTTGCACACAGACACAAAGATCTGCACGAGGATTAGCAAACCAAATTCAGCAATGGATACAGTGAAAGCTCTTGAACAAATAGACCTTACTCCAGGAGCGGGAGATTAGTTTAACAGTTGAATCACAGTACCTTAACCACACACCTGAGAGCACATTGGTACCTCTCAGTCTGGACCACAGGGATGATCACACAAACCCTGTATACTTGCAGGAATGACCCTCATAGGTACCCTGGACAACCAAGCCCGGGCAGCTTCCCTGGTGGATGACACGTGGCAAGTGTGATCACATGTCATTGCTAGGGAATGAAGTACATCCAGACAACTGAGAGAGGGCATTGAAGCCTGCACCTGTTTTTCTCCGCACTCTGCCCTACATGCCTTCTCCCTTTGCTGATTTTAGTCTGTATCTTTCCCTGTAAGAACAAAGACCACAAGTATAACAACTTCTGAGTCTGGTGGATTCTTCTTACCAATTAGTAACCCTGAGGATAGTCCCAGAGACAGCTGATACGAAGCCAGAAGCTGTGAAATCTTGCAAAGGAAAATTAAAGAAGACTGGACAGATGGAGATATAAACTATGTTCTTGGACTAGAAGGGAGTTTTCTTAAGATGTCAATTCTCCTAAAATTGATCTGCACATTGAACACAAACCCAATTAAAACCCTGGAAGGCTGTGTGTGTATTTGTAGATCTATAAGCTAAGTGTAAAATTTAAATGGGAGAACAGAGTAGGCAAATAATTTTAAAGGAGAAGCATAAGGGTAAGAACTTACATGATATGCAGGTCTACATTGTGCAGGAATCTAGAATAATCTGAGCAGTGTGGTACTCAGTATACAGTCAGGTTTTTAGAATAAAGGAAGAGACCTATATAACTGACTTAAAACAGTTGCTATATGAGTACAGTGATGAAAACACAGTCTTCTCAGGAAATGGTGCTGGAACAACTGAAAACGATGTACGTTGTCCTTCAGTTGCTGAATGGAGAAGCAAAACATGTTATCTCCGCACAAAGTAATACTATTGTGTAGCTACAACGAGAAGCAAACTAATTATCTAGTTATAGTTTTCTAGTGTTAGAAAACAGATCAGTAGTTTCCAGGAAGTGGAAGTGGGGTGGGGATAACTGTCGAGGGACATGAGAGAAATTTTGCAGTGATAAAAATGGACGACATCTTGCTGTAGTGGCAGTGGTGTGTACATTTGCTGAAATTCATTGAACTTAAATGCTTTTTGTTATACACAAATGACTACAGTCAATGTAAACAAATACAAAATTACGTGTAAAGAGGATCCACGATACACTCTCTACTTACCGTGTTGAGCTATCAGTTTCCAGGACAGGTCACTCGAATTGTGTCTAAGGAAGTCTTGTCCTGCTCTGTATTCCTCTGTGTTGTTCCTCAAGTATGAAATATACTGGAGATGAAAGGCATGAGATTGCGGTTAGCAGTTTAGTTGCTGTGGATTAAGTATCCACGTAGTCATTCAGCAAATGTGCATCCATTTCCTTTCTGTGTCGAACTCCGCTACTGCAGGAGCAGCCGTGGTGACTCTCCTTGTCGAGCTTCCATCGGGAGACGGCAGAGGATGCTGGTTCCTGTTAAGCATTTCAGTATCCAAATAGACCTGACATTCTGAACGTAACTCGACATGATCAAAAATTAGAAGACGTTCTGCCCGGCTATGGCACGTCCACTACAAAAATGTTCCTTATGGCATTCGCGTGAGGGTCAGATGTCATAAAGCAGTAAATGCTGTCAGACTGGAGTTCAGCACAAGACCTCAGAGATGACCAGCCGGGACTAGAAACACTAAGGAAGTACCCGCTCACATCAGGGTCTTCCTGGGTTGGGTCACAGTGGTGGTAGAAGTCCGGGTATAAATTCGTTCTATAAATATATTCAAAGCCAGGCAAAATTCATCTATGGTATTACAAGGAGGAAAGGGGATTATGATGAGAAAATAAAGCAGATATCTGGACACCACAAATATCTCGTCGCATTTTTTTCTCTTGTAACTTGTGTCTAGCCAATCAACAAAAACCAGTTTGCAAAATGAGGGGCTCGTGAACTTACTTCTTTTAATCTTTTATTTTCCAGAAGCAAAAGGTCTGCTTTTTGGTCATGTAAGTAGACTTCATTTTCTAAGTTCTTTAGAATTTCAAAATGTTCTTTGACCTTCTGGCTTTCTTGATCTCGCGCTTGTTTTAATTCTTCCTTCACTCTCTCCTGCTCAAGCATAAAAGCCACAGTTACCTCATGGAGGTCAAAGAGCCTAACAGCAGAGTATTAGGCTGCTTAATTACATTCAGAGAAGGGCTCCAAGTTAACTCCAGACTTGTCCAGCTGAGTCTACAGACATCTTCCCTTAGAAAAACTTACAATCCCCTGAGGTGATTCATGATAATTTCACAGAATTGATTATTCTTTGATCTATGAACAGCTGCCTGGAAAAATGTGGGCAGAAATTGTTGAGGCTTATTTTAAGAAGAATTTAAGACATGTTTAAAGGAAAAGAACAGTACTGCATGGCTTTAGAAATATTCTCCACTGTTTCCTCTACTGAGTTCTCTATCCAGGTCATGGATTTTGTACTGTGATAAACCACATCGTCTTTCTTCATTGTATAACCATCACCCACAGCATCTAATTAAGAAACAGGACTAGCTGGACAAGCTGGCGCATGCTTGTAATCTCAGCACTTGGGAGGGTGAGGCAGCGGGACTGACCTGAGCTCAAGGCCAGCCTAGGCTACATAGCAAGTTGAGGGCCGGCCTGAACTACAAAGGGAGAGCCTGCTTCAAAAAACCCAAAGCAAACAAACAAAAAAACAGGACTATATGTGTATGTACTCATTTTTAATGTTATTATATTCTCCAGTAAAAATTACTTTTTGAGGTTAATAAATCCTCAAGAATGGGATATTTCCATTATAAATTAACCAGCTACACATACATACCTAATCACTATCTAGTGGTTGTATGTATTTTTTGTTTGTTTTTAAAAAAATATTTTTGTGGTACCGGGCTTAATCTCGGGACCTTGCGCTTGCGAGGCAGGCGGCAGAACCACTGAGCTAAATCCCCAGCCCTGCTGGTTGTATATTTTACATGTAGCTTCTCTTTACCTGTTCCTCTTTTGTCGTGTCCACTGTCCTTAAAAAGCTGAATCCAGTCTTCACTTCATAAATAAGGTTCCCTCAATGATTTCCCCACGGTTAATAGACATTTGGTCCCAGAGTTCTACCTTGTTTGCTCCCCCCCCCCATATATATAGTGACTAAAATTTTAAAACACTGGCATTGAACAAGTAATTTGAATAACTGGATTTCATGATAACGTCAGTGGTGCTGTGTAAATAGGACTGACTGTACACACTAGTATTCTAACAAAGCAGAACAAACATGTCGACCCTTTACCATGTTTTCAACATATCTTGAAAAGTCCCATGTGACATGCGAAATGTAGTTGTTCAGCAAAGTCTCCTCCTGTTTTTGCGCTATAAAAAAGAAAGAGAAATAACTATTCACAACATTCCTGGGTTAAAAGGTATTAATCAAAGCAAAACAAAAGCTTAGTTTTAAAAGTCAGTACTCCAAAGTGTTGCTGTCATTCGAGCTGCTTTGGCCCCTGTGTCTGAGTCCTTGGAATTAATCATTTAAAAATGTTTATAATTAGAGTCATTCATCATAGGAAAATGGATATATGTTGAGGAGATACTCCTAAGTGAAATAAATAAGACACATGCGTGAATACCGAATAGCTTCTCTGATGTGAATAAACTATAATAGTACATGAGAATCTAATGGTATAATTGACAGTGTGAAATAGGAAGAAAAGGGCTAAAGGTGTAGGGGAAGTGGGAAGGGTAGGGGGAAAGGGAATAAGGGAAAAGAAAAAAATAGGAGAAAATGAAAAAATGGAAATAAAGTGTTTGTAAATGGGGAGGGGAGGAGGGGGTGAAGGGAGGGCAGGGACAAGGGAAAAAATGAGACCCAAGAACTGTCATGTAGAGGTACAAGATCGCAATGATGAATGTGACTGTACTGTATACCTACAATGTACCAATAAACTCAATGAGAGGAAAAAGTTTGTATTTGTTTCTCCTTTCTCCTTCCATGTAGTACAATGTTCTTAAAATCCGTACTTATATGGTATCATTTGAAGACACCTTCTCTTTACTTCTTAAAAAAGTAACTTATCCTGCCTCCTCCCCTCACACATCCCCACCCACACCACAGCCTCTCCATGTTCCCCACAACCTCTCTATAAAGGCAGTATTTTTGCTTAAACAAATTAGAACGTTATATTATTATGACAATGCAAAGCTTCCTCATTTATGAGTTAAATGGTATGTATATTTTTTCACAATTTAAAAAATTGAGCTGACATAAAACAATTGCCTCACTATAAAAATTTGCTTAGTGTTTCATGCCTATATCATTAACTCACAACCTACGACAGAGTCATAAGGTCTTTCTCACCATTACTTGCCATTGCTGTAGTTGCTAAGGGTTGCCGGAGCGCTGACCTCGAGGGCTTCCTCCGCAGGCTAGAGCTATTGGCGGGTGGTGGACCCTACGAGGCAGAGCCATCGTGAGAGCCCCTTCCCCTCCTTTGCTCCCTGGCTTAGGAGATGGGCAGTTCTTTCCTTCGCTCTCTCCTGCCATTGCCATCTGGAAATGACTCCCCACAGAGGGTCGGAGCAGTAAGTCAGCTTGGTCTTGAACCGGAACTTCAGAACTGAACCAAAGTGCCCCTTTCTCTGTAAAAGTGAATTCTCTCAGCTGTTCCACTCCAGTGAGGAAAGCTGACTGACCCACACGCACGCGCACACACACACGGTCAAACACATTGTTGGATCTGTCAGGTTCGCTTCTGCCTTCTCTCACTGCCCCTCTGAGCTGTGCCTTCTGGAGTCTTTTCTCTGTGGAGCTGCCTCACAGCTGATCTCCTAGAGTCGACCTCTGAATATCTCTTCTCTTGAACGTCCTGTTTCCTGAGTCTCATATCCTCCTCTTTTTCTTGATTTATTCCATTTATTAAAGCAAATTCTATACTAGCTTCATGGGAAAGGGTAAATGAGGTAAGTATTTTGAGATCTTTACATCCAAACATGTCTCTTTTAGGCTTGTATTTGATTGATAGTGTGGTTAGTTATCTAACATTGGGGATTTTATTACTTCAGAATTTTGAAGTCTATTACCTCTCAGTTTTTAGTAAGATATTTCTGTTGAGCTGGGTGCGGTGGCACAGGCCTGTAATTCCAGCACTCGGGAGGCTGAGGCAGGAGGATCGCTGTGAGTTCGAGACCAGCCTAGGCTACACAGTGAGTTCCAGGGAAACCTGAACTACATAGTGAGACCCTGTCTCAAAAAACAACTACCAACCAACCAACCAAAGGTATTGCTATCAAGAGAGCAGATATATTTGTGTGTTTCATCTATCACACGTAATTAAAAGCCACAGCACTGTTGTTTGTGGTAACTGAGTCCCATTGTCTGCTGTCTATAAGTGGAATGTCTGGCTGGAGCACTTTCCTACACACTGGTGCCTGGTGCTCTTCTGTTCTGTCTCCTTTCTTTCTCTTATCTTCCCTTCTTTTTCTCTGCTTCTTTAATACTTTTTCTCTCTTCTTCTTCTTCTTTTTGGTACCGGGGATCAAACTCAGGCCCTTGTGTTTACAGGGCAGGTGGCAGAACCACTGAGCTAAATCCCTGGCCTTCTCTTCTTTATCTTAAAAGATTCAGTATATGTGATGTATGAGGGATGATTGAAAACCATGGTGCATGTTTAAATTTTAAAAATTATTATAGTAATGGGCTGGGGATTTACCTTAGTGGTTCTGCCACTTGCCTTGCAAGTGCAAGGTCCTGAGTTTGATCCCTGGTACCAACCCCCCCAAAAAAAAAACAAACAGAAAAACCTATCACAAAATTGTTATAGTAAAAGACACATTGCCATCCGTCCCCTAAACTACTTTTCATGCTTATTCCATTACTGTTGCCACGTTCCGAAGCAGATCTGGAGTCCTCTTTTTGAGTATCTTTCGTTGAGTTGTCCTGGCTCTCTCCATGTCCAGAATCCGTTCAAGACATTGACCTTTCATGGTCATTTAGACTTTGGGGAAGAGCTGGAAGTCACAAGGTGCCAGATGTGGAGACCAGGATGGAGGAGGACACACTGTCTGTTTTTCCGAGCCTGCCTTTTCACTGGAGGGCACTCCGTGGCAGCATTCACTGCTTATGGAAAAAATCACACCTGTTAAACAGACTCAGGAAAGAGGGTTTCCAGAACCATTTCAGAAAGTGGCAAGAAAGGTGTGATCACTGTGTCTGAGGTAAGGGTGAGTATCTTGAAGGGAACTAATATGTGTTCTTCACTGTAATACTTAAAAAAATTGAAACATTCACCATCTGCTATGATCCCTCTTCATACTGCTTGCTTTTATGTTGACCATTTCTCTTACATCCTCTACCTCGTACGAAAAGGGACAGGAGGGAAGGTAGAAATTGGGCACGAAGTGCACGTGTACTGTGAGTCTAGATAAAACCCCAAGGCGATCTGCCCAAGTTGACGAAATGAAAACCTGACAAAAAGTAGAAAATCAGCTAAGAGGGAAGAGCCATACTGATTACCGAGATATCTATTATGATGATATTCTTGAAAATTCTACCTTTCTTGGCAATAATCACTTCCTTTTTTCATATTTGTTCATTTTACAGTTGAACACCCGGGGCTTCCTAATGACGGCCCATTTTGACACAGACTTTTAAAATTCCTATCCTCATATTCATCTTTGCTAAATAGTCGTTCCTATTTCTCCCCCAGTGGGTGTCTCTTGCTCCCATTCTAGTCCTTTCTATAACTTTTGTTCCTGGTATTCTAATTCTTTTTTTTAATTGAGTTTCTTGGTACAGTCTAGGTATACAGTACAGTTACACTCATTACTGGGATCTTGTACCTTTACATGACAGGTCTTGGCTCTCATTTTTTCCCCTTGTCCCTGCCCTCCCTTCATCCCCTCCTCCCCTCCCCATTTACAAACACTTTATTTCCACTTTTTCATTTTCTCCTATTTTTCTCTTTTCCTTTATTCCCTTTCCTCTACCCTTCCCACTTTCCCTACACTTTTAGCCCTTTTCTTCCTATTTCACACTATTAATTATCCCATTGGGATCTTATGTACTATTATAGTTTTTCACACCAGAGAGACTATTTGGTATTTACACATGTGTGACTTATCTATTTCACTTAAGAGTATATCCTCAATATGTATCCATTTTCCTATGATTGACTCTAATTTTTTATTCTTTATGGCTGAGTAGTATTCCATCTGATAGAAAAACCACAGTTTCTTTATCTGGTTTCCAACTGATGGGCAAATGGGCTGTTTCCAAGTTTTAGCTATTACAAACCATGCTGCTATAAACATCAGTGCGCATATATCACTGTGGTATGTTTCTTTTAATTCTTTTGGAAAGATACCCAGCAGAGGGATGGCTGGGTCAAATGGAACCTCTAGTCCCAGCTCTTTGAGGTATCTCCATATTGATTTCCACAGTGGTTGCACCAGTCTGCACTCCCACCAACAATGGAGAAGGGTTCTTTTCTCCCCACAACCCTGCCAACATTTGTTATTGTGTGATTTCTTGATAGCAGCCATTCTTTGTGGGGTGAGGTGGAATCTCAGTGTTGTTTTCATCTGCATTTCTCAAATGACCAGTGATGTGGAACATTTTTTCATATATTTACTTGCTGCTTTTACTTCTTTGTCTGAGAAATGTCTGTTCATTTCAGATGCCCATTTTTGAATTGGGTCTTTATATTTTGGGGGCGTGCTGATTGTTCTGAGTTCTTTATATATTCTAGATAATAGTCCTTTGTCTGAGGAGCAGCTGGTAAAAAGTTTTTTCCCACATTGTAGGTTGACTGGTATTCTAATTCTCATGGTCTCCTTTTGTCATCTAGGAGAAACAAGGTCTAGAAGTAGCTCTTGCTCATAGACCTGCATGGACGCCCTGGAAAATGAGCCTCTGACTCCCTAAGTGCAAGATACAACTCACACCTCTGGGAAAATTCCAGACCATGAGTATAGGGTTAGATGATCACACCCAATTTTTGTGAAGAAACAGTTATGTTTATATTAAACCCATACATGGTTATAGTATGTCAAAGAATGCAGAAACCCACAGTTCCAGGGATATTTTATATCTTTAACTCATCTTCCAGAGTTGAGGTGAATCTTAACTATCTGTGCCTTAAAAATAGGCTAGTTTGGGCCAGGGATTTAGCTCAGTGGTTCTGCCACCTGCCTCACAAGTGCAAGGACCTGAGTTCGATTCTTGGTAAAACAACAACAACAACAAAAAAAAACAGAAACAAAAACGAGGCAACAGCTGCTTGATTAATCATTAAAGTCTTAGCTAGAAAGGAGATACAATTAGCAAATTCATGGTTAGAGGCAGAAAAATTTCTCCATGTGGTAGCTGATCTAGGTTAGTTCTACCTCGTTTTACCAAATCTGGAGAGGACACAATACATTGAACCCTTAATTCTTAACTGTAAATGGCCTTTAAGAGAGAGAAGGTATGACTCAATAAAAGCATCAAAAGGTTGTGGTGTGGAGAAGGTAACAAAGAACTAGAGGTGAGAGGACAAGGTGGGTGAATTTTACCACAGCTGGGACTGATGACCTCCTCGAGCTGGGAGAGACCCTGGGAGGAGGCTCAGCTGCCAGAGGCTTCAGGCGTACCTGTAAGAGAACTACAGAGCTCTTGCAGCCTTCTGTTTTTTATTGTGTATTCCTCTTCAGCCAGGTGAAGGTGTGGAAGAGTATCCATGAGCTCCTCTTCCGTTTCTTTGCTAATTTTTGTTTCTTTAACAATTAAATCCTTAAAAGAAAATAAAGCTAGTTGAGAAGTGGCTTTGGAGAATTTACACAACAATTCAGAGTAGAATGGAAAGGCAGAGTTCTGTCTTCTATCCTGAGGTGCACAGGATAGCATCTGGCACACGCTTTCACAAACTCACTCGACTGTCTGGCAATCTGGAACGTGAGGGGGCTGGATTCGATTGACTTCCCAAAGATCCCTTCAGGTCTGTATCTCTATGCCTATATTTCTACTGCTACCGTGTAGACGACCAAACACATACTTGAGGAAAGTTTTCCTTGGTTGATTGCATTTTATGACAAAGGCACCAAAACAAAGCATTCCAGATTTAAAAACTGTGGATGTCAATGAGAACCGGGCAGGGATAGAAAGAACAATGTACAGTACAGCGGTGAAGAGGTGATGTCATCGCCACGTGCGCTGTTTCTGTCGTGTTCTGCAGACCAGCAGGCCCTCAGCTGGTTCACATCCTCTCCTCACGTGCTTCCCCAGGATCGCCATCCTGTCTCGCCCAGGTTGCCCAAGCCGTCCTAACGCCCTCTTTGGAAGGGGCACCAGACTGAACTTACTACTCTCCTCGGACCCCACTGCCCTCTGTAGTTTCTCAAGCCAGCACCCAGGGGCCTTCACTGCACCCCTGGACACTGATCTGCAGCTCTGCACAATGTGAAACGTATGACTTATATTTTTATCCCCAAGACACTTCCATGTTCGATTTGTATTCCTTTCTCAGGTAAAGAAGAGGAAAAATTCACAATAAAACCACAGCCTGGTCCATACTGGGAGAAAGTTTTACACGTAACTGGTCAGAGGAACAGGAACTATCATTCCTCTCCCCACTACGCAGCCACTGCAGACTATTCTTAGGTGTAAAATAAAAATTACCTCATAGATGCTTAACTCATGAATTAAGTTTTTTTCTCTGATTATAAATTCTGCTTCTTCTTCTTTTAATTGTGATGTGACTTTTTCTATCTGTATCACAAATTCATCGATCTCCATCTCTCGAAGTTTGGTCTAATAAGAAAAGAGGATTTTTATAAATTTCTCTTGTGGTCAGCCTTACATTTTCACATGGCTAGGTAAGCCAGTATCTTCTCGCATGAGAGTTGGTTGTGACGTCAGATTACGCGACTTTGCACTAACTATTGAGAAGGATTTCTTTCTTCTCTCCAGAAATTAGTTTCTCCACCAAACAATATGTATAAATGACACGAGGAGTGGGAGAGGAGAAGGCCAGTGGGTAGACAAAGGGAAAACATGGAGGAGTCAGTGATACTGAGGGTCATGTTTTTAGAGGGAACTCCATTAAAGACTAGCATCAAGAGCATTTCGGGTTACAGGCTTGAAAAATGTTCTGGAGAGAACTGCTATTTATTCGTTTTCTCGTTGAGTTTATCGATACTTTTTAGGTATAGAGTACAGTCACATTCATCATTGGGATCTTGTAACTTGTCACGACAGAGCTTGCTTCCCATTTTTCCCCCCTTACTCCTGCCCTCTGAGAATTGCTATTTAAATTGCTGAATACTTCTAGTTAATATACAGCAATAATGCATTTCTCTTTTTTTTTCTCATTGAGTTTATTGGTACTTTTAAAGTAGACAGTACAGTTGCATTCATCACTGGGATCTTGTGCCTTTGCATGACAGATACTGGTTCTCACGCCCCCATACCCCTGTCCTCCCTTCACCCCCTCCACCCTCCCCTATTTACTTACAAAGACTTTGTTTCCATTTTTTCCTTTTCTCATATTTTTTCTTTTCCCTTTTTCCTTTCCTCTACCCTTCCCACTTCCCCTTCCCCTTTAGCCCTTTTCTTCCTATTTCACATTGTCAGTTATACAATTTGGATCTTATTCACACCAGAGAAGCTATTTGGTATTTCCACATGTGTCTTATTTATTTCACTTGAGTATGGCCTCAATATACATCCATTTTCCTATGAATGACTCTAGTTTCTCTTTCTTTTTTTAACAGAAAAACCACATCTTCTTTATCCGGTCTCCAACTGATGGGCAAATGGGCTGTTTCCAAGTTTTAGCTATTACAAACCATGCTGCTATAAACATCAGTGCGCATATATCACTGTGGTATGATTCTTTTAATTCTTTTGGAAAGATACCCAGCAGAGGGATGGCTGGGTCAAATGGAACCTCTAATCCTACTTGTTTGAGGTATCTCCATACTGATTTCCACCGTGGTTGCACCAGTCTGCACTCCCACCAACAATGGAGAAGGGTTCCTTTCTCCCCACAACCTGGCCAGTATTTGTTAGTAGTTGATTTCCACCTCACCCCAGAAAGAATGGCTGCTATCAAGAAATGATGCATTTCTGAAGCTAAACAATTCACTCTACATTTGAAGTCAGCAGAAAAGAAAATAGCTTTTTAATGAACATAGTTTAATTAAATATTGAAAGAAAATGACTGGTATGAAATGCAGACATGTAGAGTAATTCTAAGTATCAGGGTGAATTCCCTTACCTCTTCCAGCAGTTCATTCCGTCTCTGTTCCGCATGCTCAATTTTATCTGCAATTGTTTGTATTTCGACCATTTTCTTGGCTAGCCATCGTGCATGCTGTTTTCTCAAACAAGCTAGTTTCCACTGAGTTATGATACTAGGGATTAGAACAAAAAGAATTACAATAAAATTGACACAGCAGTTTAACAGAAAGATGAAGGAATTCCAAGCAAAGCAAGTCCTACTACAATTTTCCAAAATCACTGGTGCCCTTGGTGATGTGGACCACATATAACTGAAACAAAAATTAACTGTGACCTTGACTCTGTCTCTGCCAGTTGCTTCCCAGTGAGACCCTGGGGGAAAAACCACAGTGGGCAGAGCTCACCTTCTCCAGGTGGAGGATGGACGTAGGGAGTGCTGGGGGTAGATAAAGAAAGAAGAAACACAGGCAAAAATACTAACGCAGGGCCGGGGATTTAGCTCAGAGCTTCCACCAGTGCAGGGACCTGAGTTCTATCCCTGGTACCAAAAGAAAAACTAATGGAATTATCCAAATGACTGTAAATGTTAGTAAGAAATTTCAAGTTTGCAGGTTGTCAATGTTTTCTTTCGCACGCAACATAAAACAGCTCTATATTAGGAAGATGTTAACAAATGTGCAGTTAGTCTTATGAGTAGTAACCTTAAAATGCACTCCATATTAGTAATTGCTTTCTTGTGCCCTTGACCTGAATTCTTCACGAAGGTCACCTCTCTGACGTTGACCGTGACTTTACAAGGTGGCTACTATTACCGTTCTCTACCTCAGAGGGGTGGAAGCAAAGAGAAAGTAGTAATCGAGGCTTATGAGGACAGAGTAACCAGCGCAGTCCATGTGTAAAAACCGTGGTGTCAACCGTTCTCCTCTGTCACCACCCAAGTTTCCGGGCCTACCCGTCTATGGGTGAGCAGCAGGCTGTGCGTGAACAGTGGTACTTCCGTTTTCTGGTGACTCCATTCTATTGAAATGGAAATCCTTGGCTTTGTTCAATGCCAAAAAAAATCAAGCTATCAAACACACCTAGATCTGAGAAAACTCACCCAATGTAGGAAAATCATTGCCATGGGCTCCAGATAACATATACTAAAAAGTAACACAAATTATTATTATTTTTTTACCATCTCTGATTTTCTCTTTCCAGGTTATCACTCAGAATTTCTATTTGCTTTCGATATACTTCTTTCATTGCTCTAAAAACAAGAAAACTAGGTTAGATTTGAGAGAGCTGTTGAAATATACCAGAGATTTTTTATACTTAATTCTTATGTTCAAAAATGCGACAAAACTGAAGGTCTCAGTGGCAGATTTCCTGAAGGACAACTACTGTTCTGGGGCAGAGCAAACAGATCTTATAAGCCTTGGGGTACATATCCAAGGTTGAGGAAAAGCTTCTAGGGAAGCAATTGAGGAAAGGGCCTTGAGGGTTTACAGCATAGAGAGAAGAAAATGGATTTCCAGGACTTAGCTGTAACCCTCCCAAGGGAAGGGCGTCATCACTGGCAGAGAGGCAGAGAAAAGAGGAAAGCCAGGACTGTGTCCTCCCTCATAGAAGGCAGGGGTGCGGCGTACAGAGGGTACAGAGGGAAGAGTAACACTGTGCCCCACGGGGGTTGGGGATCAATAAATTGTTGAGGACTCTGGATACTGCATAAGTTTTATTTTTTGTTTGTTCGTTTGTTTGGTACAGGGGATAGAATTCTGGTCCTTGTGCTTGTGAGGCAGGCGGTGGAAACACTGAGCTAAATCCCCAGCCCCCTGCATATGTTTTAAATTGATACAATATAGATTTCAGAAGGCCAACATAGATTTTGGGTTTTTGTTTTGTTTTGTTTTGTTTTGGTACTGGGGATCGAACTCAGGTCCTTGTGATCGCAAGGCAGGCAGTGGAACCACCAAGGTAAATCTCCGGCCCCCAACACAGATTTTTGAGTGAGGGGAAAGCAGTAATAAAGGATGGATGATTTCCTTGTGCTAGGATGGATGAAAATGTGAACACAGACAACAGAAGTCTTTATTTTTAGTCTCTCTTCCCCCTATTAAGTGCTTTGTGTACACAAATGAATAGAAAGCCACATAAGTAAAATGCTATTGTGTTTGTTTGTTTTTGGTACCAGGGATCAAATTGGGGTCCTTGTGCTTGTGAGGCAGGTGGCAGAACCACTGAGCTAAATCCCCAGCCTGTAAAATGCTAATTTGGTATCTTCTGAAAGATAGAAATGCTCATAAATGAAACTTGCAATATGAAATGCAGTTGTGTAAATTGTTGGAAGCCAAAAATATTCATAGACAAAACAGCAAAATGCTGTCAAATGAACTCGAAAGACAGCTGCGCTCCTGTTTTTCTCTGAAATCCTAGTGTGGAGTGTACAGCAGACATCTCTGCCCAGCATTAGCAGGCTTTAAGTGGCACAAGCTTCTTGCCCTTTCATAATTCTGCTATACTACATTAAAAGTAACAGGGGCTTGCTGAGTTCACGTCCAGCCAAGTTCAACTTGACTCCAAGTAAATTTTTCCCAACTGAACTATTTGTTCTCTGCACATTTACTAGTACCCTTCCCTGCAATACCTGTTATCAGCAGGTGTCGGTGGCCTGCCCGGCTCCCCTCCTTCCCTCGCTTATAAGGAATAAACACTGGATGTCTTTGGGGTCTTTGTCTTTGCTGCATGGAGCTGTTCTGATGAGCCCACAACCCAGCTTCTCTCAGGCCCTGTATCTGTGTTGTTCTTTCTCTCTTTCCTGGCTCTCAGACTTCTTAAGGTCTCAGAAGATACAGACCCTCAACCAGGGTTTTGCATAACGTCCCTTCTAGGTGTGGGCTCTCAATTTTCTACCAAGATAAACCCTATGTCCTCACTTAGAGAGCTAAGGGTTTTCACAGTTTTCCCTGTAATGATTTTGTTTATTTTTATGCTTAATATAGTCACAAAGGGTCTGAACCAGTGTAAAATAAAACAACTGTAATATTGAAAGTACTAAAGGGATAACAATATCAGGCCACTAATTTGCCTCTGATCTTCCCAGTGACCCAAGCAATAATGACATTACAACTGATGCTAAAATTTGCATTATTTCTGAGGAAGACGAAACTTGATTTAATTCAATTCTATTTTTCCTGCTCTCTCTTTTAAAAATTAATCAATCAATTAATTAGATTATGACAGGGTCTTGCTGTGTAGTTCAGACTGGCCTTGAACTCACTATGTAGCCCAGGCTGGCCTTGACCTCACAGCGATCCTCCTGCCTCCTGAGTGCTGGGATTACAGGTGTGCACCACCACGCTCAGTCTGCTCTCTTTTGGGGAGTAGTTTATACTTCACTTTCTAAAACTGATATAATGAGAACTAGATGTTCAGTATATTATTGAAATATATGGTAGCAACTGTCCAGAGACCCCGTACTTCCTGTCACACCTCAGACCTCTACTTGTATGTGTAAACTTTTCATCCTCTCACGTTCTGTAAGCTGACTTCAGCACTGCCCTGTATTCAAATCCTGTGCTTCCCTCCACATAATGACAGCAGTCCCTCACCTGATGAACAAAACAGAAAAATCTTCTTGTTTTATAGCAGGTATATAGTTCAAGTTTTAAATCCTCATATAACAAAGAGACTCCTTGATTTCACCATCCCCTGTGGTTGTTCTTTTAGAACCCACGCTCTATTTTTCCCTTTCACACACCCATCGGTTATTTCAGGTGTGTTAGTCTTCCTTATCTGCCCAATGCTGCACTCTAAATTTGCTGTAGGTTCAGAGCCAGTGGAAGGGTACAATAATAACATGCATGCAGTGTATTCTGATAGTAATTTACAAATGATAATTATCTCTCCACCTTTGACTTAACAATTTAACTTTTTGGACTTATTGTAAAGAAATATTCACATAGATAGGCACAGAAATGTTAAAGAACGTGAACTTCAAGAATTGTTTATAATATATAAAAGACAGAAAAACTCAAATGTCCATGAACAGAGTATCCATAGGTTAATGAAATACAGTATAATCAATAAAAAATATATCATGCCGTGAGAGAAAAGAATGAAGACTCATGTCCCGTAGAGAAGACTGTTAGGGCCTGTGTCTCGGTTTTGCCCCAAGGCCTCATGTGGTTATAGGTGGGACTTTTAGGAGGTGGCTGGATCTGGAGGGTGTGATGCTGGGACCAAGGGGGTGTAAATGAGTCCATCATTGGCAGGCACCAGGCAGGGTTGGCGTGGCGGAGGGACGTAACAGAAGAGAAACAGTTCATAGTAGACAGAAGTTAGTAAAAGCAGCAAGCAATAACAGCAGCCCTCTTTCTGTCCCTTACACTCTATCTGGGCTACCCACCCATGCCCAGGGTGGGGCACCCTTAACCCTAGCACCACACCAAGAATCAAGGCCAGCATCACACACCCCAGATCTACCACCTCTGCAAAGCCCACCTATGACCGCACAAGGCTCTGGGGGACATCGAGACACAAGCCACAGCAATGGCTTTTCCCCTCATTGTGAAATAATTTCTAACTCAACAGGTAAATGTAAAAAAGAATGAAAACAATTCCTATATGCCTTCTCCAACTTCTCCCAAAATTACCACTTTACTATATTTGTTTTATCATTCTCATAGATGTGACTTTAAGTGAAAAAAAAAAAAAACAAACCACCAGTTATAGAGGAGCACAATCTAATTTTTAGATATGCACAACACACATACATATATAGTTATATTTGAAAATGTGTATGACAAACTGTTAACAGTGATTTTCTCTGTAGAGATAGAGGAAAGATTAAGGTAAACTTTTATTTTTCAAGGTACACATTTCTGTATTTAAATTTAAAAGTCAGATATAAGGGCTAGTTTACTAATCCGAAGAAGTCAAGAGTTTAAGTGACTTAGAATGACAGAAAATGGTTAATGCTAGGGATCGGTGCTGTTCGAATTCCTGAGCACATTCTTGTCACTGCTCCCAGGACTGGCCCATCCCTCTGTCTGCTACGGAGTGCAGAGCCTGTCTATCTCTCAACGAAAGGTTCAGTAATAGTGACTGTCCCAGACAGTGAAATAGAGAGTTAGTTATGCATTTCCTTTCCAATAGCCTATTAGAAATTTACACAGACTTATTGTTATCATTTATTAAAAAGAAAAATGCAGAGAAAGGATTCAAAATCCCAAAGACAAAAAACATAAAACCTACTTATGAAGATCCTCAAGAGTAACAAGTCCTTCTTCCATATTTTTGATGTCTACTTGTCTTTGTGCAAGGAAGTTTTCTTTTTGTGCCATAAATGCCAGTTGTCTCTGGTTTCTACCATGAGAAAAGCAAACTTAATTGTTGCAAGGTGAAATAATCATTTTTATTATTTTGTGGTGCTGGGGATCAAACCCAGCGACCTGCACATCATAAGACAGAAAGAATTATATTTTATTTTTTCTAGTGTGAGAAAATACACAAACACAAATAATTTTTAAAATAATAAGGAAAGTTTATGTCATGAGTGATTTAGCAAATAGTAAAAAAAACAAAACAATAGAAACAGCCTTTTTGCTGGCAGTGGCTAAATAAATACAGACTTGTACATAGGACTTTCCTAAAATTTATGAAAACTCCCAAGCCACTGAAGGAACATTAACCACAATGGTAGGCACAAAAGGGAGCTGTCTGTGCCACTCTCCTAGTGCGTGTGACTTTCTGATGTGCTTATCAACCCTGCCTGCTCTGTGAGAGATGGAGTCAAACCAACTCTGAATCCTGGCTTCCCCTCTCAGCAGTGTGATCACCTGTGGATCGGCCTCAGTTTTACCACCTGTGAAAAAGGATCACACTACCTATCTCATAAGATGAAAAGATTAAATAAGTGCTCGGCCCAGTGCATGGACAGATGAGACATTTTAAAAGAATTAGTTAATTTTTGCCATAAAGAATGAGAAACTAGTCATTCATAAGAAAATGGACGTACATTGAGGCCATACTCTTAAGTGAGATAAATAAGACACACATGTGTAAATACCGAACTGTTTCTCTGGTGTGAAAAACGAAAAGTGTAAATAAGATCCAAATGGTATAACTGATAATGTGAAATAGGAAGAAAAGGGCTCAAGGTGAAGGGGAAGTGGGAAGGGTAGGGGAAAGGAAAGAAGGGACTAGGAAAAAATATGAGAAGAGGAAAAATGGAAACTAAGTTTTTGTAAGTAGGGGAGGGAGGAGGGGTTGAAGGGAGGGCAGGGGTATGGGGAAAAAATGAGAACCAGGGCCTGTCATGTAAAGGCACAAGACCCCAGTGATGAATGTAACTGTACTGTATACTTAAAAAGTACCAATAAACTCAATGGAAAAAAAATAATTACTTTTTTTTTTTGTTTCAACTTGTAGGACCCAATGAGGCTCAGCAAAGTTTGTAGCTTTTTGTTTTTTTGGGTACCAGGGATTGAACTCGGACCTTGTATTTGAGAGGCAGGCAGCGGAACCACTGAGGTAAATCCCAAACCCTGGAGTTTGTAGTTTTGTTCAAATGCTCAGGCTTTCGCAGCAACAAAGTATAACAAAGTGTAACAAAGTATTTTATCTAAGTGACTCATCCTCAAGACTTCTACAGAGTTGTACCTGCCTCCAGAATTTAAATTAAACCCCACACCAACGTGATAGAGAATGGCAGAAATGAGGAGCCTGAGGGTCAATGTTTTAATACAGGTTGAACACTGATGAAGATGGGGCTTTGTATGGTAAGCAGGTACGGATGAGGTCCTGAAGACTGGGCCCTCGTGATAGAAGGGGTGTGCTTATCAGCAAAGGTTTCACCATGCTCATGAAAAGTAAACATGTGTTTGTATCCCAAACATGATACATATGAAAACAGAACATTCTTTGGTTATTTTACATACTCCTCTGGGAATAAACCAAAATGAAAAGAGAGAGGGGGGAGGGAGAGGGAGAGGGAGAGGATCTCAGCAAGTCAGCAGGAATCCCTGACTGGAACCTGCCTCTCCCAATGTTTGTAACAGTGAGACTTAAGCAGCCAGCCTATAGAATTTTATTATGGCAGCCTGAAATAAGAGCAAAAAGCTCTTTATAAAATCTTTACTAAGTTTATGGGTACATTTTAGTTATACAGTGCAGCTACATTCATCATTGGGATCTTGTACCTTTACATGACTTATCTTGGTTCTTACTTTTCCCCATTCCCCAGCCCTTCCTTGAGCCCCTCCACCTGTTTACAAAGAAATTATTTCCATGTTTTTCCTTTTCACATATTTTTTCTTTTCCCTCTCCACCTTTCCCCTTCTCACTTCCTCTACTCTTTTGCCCTTTTCTTCCTATTACACAATATCAATTATACATTTTGATCCTTATTTACACTTTCAGTTTTTCACCAGAGAAAGTATTCGCTATATACACATGTGTGACTTATTGATTTCACTTAAGAGTATGGTCTCAATTGCATCCACTTAACTATAATTTTCTCTAGTTTCTTGAGATCCCAGTGGTTGGTTCTTTGTGCTAGTTCTCGTGTAACGGAGGATTTGTTCATAAAGTCTTGGCCTATGCTGACATCTTCAAGAGTTCTGCCTAACTTATCTTCCAGCAAGCTTAGTGTTTTGGTTTTAATGATTATATCTTTAATCCACTTGGATTTTAGTTTAGTGCATGGTGAAAGATACAGGTCTAGGTTTAATCTTTGATAAGCAGAAATCCAGTTTTTCCAACATCATTTATTAAAGTGGCTAACTTTCCTCCAGTGAGGGTGTTTGGCTCCTTTGTAAAAGAAGAGGTAGTTGAGTATGTCAGTAGTTGATTCTGCATCTTCTAATCTGTTTCACTGATCCTTAGATCTGTTTCTTTGCCAGTACCATGCTGTTTTTATCACAGTGGCTTTGTAGTATAGTTTCAAGTTGGGGATTGTGAAACCCCCTGTCACATCTCTGTTGCCTAGAATTGTTTTTGCTATTCTAGGTCTCTTCTGATTTCAAATGAATTTTTGGATTGTTTTCTCTAGTTCTGCAAAATATACTGTTGGGATTTTAATAGGGATTGTGATGAATCTGTATAAAAGTTTTGGAAGCATGGCCATTTCCACTATATTGAACAAGGAATGTCTTTCAATTTTCTTATAGCCTCTTCAATTTCTTTCTTCAGAGTATTATAGTTCTCATTGTAGAGGTCTTTTGATTCTTTTGTTAGACTGATATCTAGATGTTTCATTTCTTGGATGCTGTTATGAAAGGAATTGTTTCCCTAATTTCACTTTGAATGAGTCTGTTATTTGTGTACAAGAAGGCTATTGATTTTTGAGTGTTGCCCTTGTATCCAGCTACTTTACTGAATCTGTCAATTAAGTTGAGAATTCTTTTGGCAGAGTGTTTTGGATCTTCAGTGTAGAGTATCGTATCATCCGCCTATAGTGACAGTTTCACTTCTTCCTTCCCTATCTTTATTCCTTTTATTTCTTTCTCTTGTCTAATTTCTGTGCCTAATGTTTCCAAAACTATATTGAGCAGGAGTGGTGATAGTGGACATCTGTGTCTTCTTCCAGATTTTAGTTTGAAGGTTTTCAGTTTTTGACCATAGAGTATGATGCTGCCTGTTGGCTTTTCATAGATAGCATTTATCGAGTTGAGATAAACACCATCTATTCCAATTTTCTGCAGGGTTTTTATCATGGATGAGTGTTGAATTTTGTCAAATTCTTTTTCTCCATCTATTGAGATGATCATATGATTTTTCTCCTTGACTCTGTTAATATAGTGTATTACATTTATCGATCTACATGTGTTGAAGCATTTTTGCATCCCCAGGATAAATCCAACTTGGTCAGGATGTATGGTCTTTTTGATGATCTTTTGTATTCTGTTTGCCAGTATCTTATTGAAAATTTTTGCATCTATGTTCATTAGGGAGATTGTCCTGTAGTTCTCTTTTTTGGTTGGGTCTTTCCCTGGTTTTAGAATCAAAGTAACACTTGCTTCCAGGAATGAATTTGGAAGTGTTGCCTCCCTTTCAATTTCACTGAAGAGTTTTAAGAGTAGTGGCAATAGTTCTTTTCTAAATGTCTTGTACAATTCAGCAGTGAAGCCATCGGGACCTGGGCTTTTCTTTGTTGGTAATATTTTAATTACATTTTCATTAAAATTACATTTTAATTACATTACATATTCACCAAATATAATTGGGGTGTTTAGAATTTTTATATCTTCTTCATTCAACTTTGGTAATTCATATGTATCTATGTCCATTTCATCTGTGTTTTCCACTTTATTAAAGTACAGGTTCTTGAAGTAGGTATTGATGATCCTCTGGATTTCTGCTGGATCTGTTGTGACTTCACCATTTCATTCCTAGTTGCATGAATTTGAGCCTTTTCTTTCCCTTTTTTGATAATGTTGGCTAAGGGTTTATCGATTTTATTTATTCTTTTGAAAAACCGACTCTTCAATTCATTGATTTTTTTTGTATCTTTTTTTAGTCTCTGTTGCATTGATTTCTGCCCTGATCTTTATAATTTCCTCCCTTGTATGAGTTTTGGGTTTGTCTTGCTCTTCTTTTTCTAGGAGCTTAATATTCACCATTAGGTTGTTCATTTGAGCTCACTCTGCTTTCCTAGTGTGGGCATTTACGGCTATGAATTTCCCACGTGAAGCTGTTTTCATTGTATCCCATGGATTCCTGTATATTTTACTGGCATTATCATTTAGTTGTAAAAACTGCCTAATTTCTTCTTTAATTTCCTCTGTGACCCATTGGCTGTTCAGGAGAGTGTTATTGAATTTCCATGTGTCTGTGAAATTCTTACAGTTTCTTACGCTATTGATTTCCAGTTTAATTGTACTATGGTCTGATACTATACACTGGGTAACTTCAACTTCTTTGCATTTACTTAAACATGTTCTATGAGCTAGCATGTGGTCTATTTTGGAAAATGACCCGTGTGCAGCTGAAAAGAATGTATATTCTGATTTTGTGGGGTGGAACACTCTGTAGATATCTACTAAGTCCATTTGTTCAAAAGCTTGGTTCAGTTCTAGTATTACTTTGTAGATCTTTTGTTTAGATGACATGTCTATTTGTGACAGGGTGGGTATTGAAGTCTCCCACTACAGATGTATTAGTGCTTATTTGGTGTTTCATGTCCCTTAATATTTGCTTTATATAGTTGGGGGCATTAGTGTTTGGAGAATATATATTTATGACTGTCATCTCTTCCTGTTGGATTGTTGCCTTTACAAGGATGTAGTGGCCTTCTTTGTCTCTCTTAAATAGCTTTGGTTTGACATTTACTTTGTCTCCAAATACAATACTATGCCTACTTTCTTCAGGGCTCCTGTTATGTGGAGAACTGTTTTCTATCCTGTCACTCTGAGCCTATGAATTTCTTTGTGAATTAAGTGGGTTTTTTTAATATACAGAATATATTTGGATTTTGCTTCTTAATCCATTCTGCCAGTCTATTTCTTTTGATTGGTGAATCGAGGCCATTGACATTGATGGTTATAACTGATATGCACTGACTTATCATTGCCATGTTATTTTCCTGCTGTTGGTTCTTTTTTATTTCTCTCCCTCTCCCTTTAAATTCTTACCTATTGGATTTGCTCTATTGGGCCTCATGGAGTTGTGACCTTCATTGTCCTTTTCTAAGATATTTTAAATAATTGTTTGGAGTGCTGGTTTCATATTCATGAAGTTTCTCAGGTGCTCTCTGTTATGAAACTGTCTTATTTCTCCATCAATTTTGAAAGATAGTTTTGTGGGATACATCAGCCTATGTCAAGGTTGTTTACTTTTAAAGCTTGAAATACCTCACTCCAGGCTCTCCTTGATTTGAGGGATTGTGTTGAAAGCCTGTTGTGATTTTGGTGGGCTTTCCTTTTCATTAAATTTGTTTCTTTTTTCTAACTGCATGCAGTATTTTGTACTTCTGTTGGGTTTCCAGGATCTTTATTATATGTCTAGGTATAAATTTTATTTTATTATAACTAGTTGGAGTCCTATATGCCTCGCTTATCTGTATGTCTAGTTCTTTTGCTCTCTTTGGGAAGTTTCTATCATTAATTCTGTGAACAGTTTTTTAAAAATGTCATTTGTGCTTTCTCCTGCTTTTTTTTGAACTCCTATTAATCTTATTTTTCTTTACCATATCTAGGAGCTGATGGATTGATTTCTCATGGTCTCTTTTTTTTTTTGATACCAGGGATCAAACTTAGGTCCTTGTGCTTGCTAGCAGGTGGCGGAAGGTCCCTTACTATTTTTAAGAGATCTCTTATTTCTGGTCACTGACCACCATCCTGTCTTCTTTGTCTAATAGTCTGTCTTCAGATTGGGTTAGTCTGCTATGTATACTTTGAGTAGAGTTTTGAATCTCCTGAATATCAATTTTAATCTGTTTCATGGATTCCATTTCTTTCTTATGTTGGGTGTTCATGATTTCCATTTCTTTCCTATGCTGAGCATTCATGGCTTCTATCACGGTCCTGAGCTCATCTATTTTTTTAAAAATCTGTTTCTATTCTAGTGTCTATAATCATGTCTTTTGTCTGCGAAATTATTTCTGTTTTGAATATTTCTAGAGCCTCATTCACCTGTTTTTTTTTTACTTCCTATGCTATCAGTTCAGATTATCCAGGTGGTAGATTATCAGTCTTTTCCATCTCATTTTCCTCAGAATTTGTCTTTGTTAAGCTGGAAGACTGTGTCTTATTTAAATGTGTTTTTAATTTCTATTATTGTTGTTGGTAAAGTCCTTGGGTTAATTCCTGGGTTGACACTTTGATATTACTTATTGTAACTATCTTTGTTGCTTGTATTTAGAACCCATAAATAATGATTGCTTCTCAGAGGCATCTTCCAGATATAGCTGGTTTCTAGGATTTGAGTCTCTAATAACCCTGGGGCAATCTCATTTTCATTACACTGGGAAAGATAACTGATTAGATCAATCACAACAGCAGCCCAAGTGATACAATTGGAAACAATAATAGAATCAAACACAGCTTAGAAAAATGACAATTTGTGGGAGTTATTAATCTATCACCTTTAACTCTGTGAAATAAAATGAGATGGAAGACCAGCTCAAAATATGTTTATAATGAATAAACTGATCCATATGTAACTTTACCCTTCAGGATGGGGACTTAGAAGGAGTAAGGCCCTCTTACTATTATTAGCTTCTGCTATAGCTCAGGGCAGTGCCTTTCAGACCCCATTTCCTCTGCAGTGCAGGTGAGGAACATGTACAGCCAGGAAGCCAGAGGCTTCATGCAGCTCTAACCTCAGGCTCTGCTGGTTGGTAGCAGGAAGGCCTGTGGGATAGGCACCCACGCAGGTGGAGAGGCGCACGGTAGCAAATGGCTGTTATCCCAGCACTGTGAGAGGCGGAGGCAGGAAGAGAGAAAGTTGGAGCCTAGGCTGGGCAACTTGGTGACTTAGTAAAACCCCTTCTCAAAATAAAACATAGAAAGGGAGCTGGGGATGTAGCCTAATGTGAAGGCCAAAGTTTCAGTTCCCAATTCTGGAAAGAATTATGGCAACATCATTTCAGTGTTACAGTTATTTGTCATCAACACACTTTGGGATTCTGACTGATACTAAGTACTGAACTGGGAAAAGTTTTTGCTTGAGAAATACAAATAGTATCATTTTCTGAATGCTGTACGCATTGGATAAGATAAAAATGATTGCAACAATTTTCTGTAGCTTAAATGCCGCCGCCATGAACATAATATCGTACCCCGTAACTATGGCATGTTGATTCACAAAGGAATCATGGGTAGAAACATACTCATCGTGGAGCTTCCGTTTCTGCAGAAAAACTTGATCTTCTTCAGTTAACACAATTCTGTATTGTTGTAAAATAGCATGCATTTTCTCTTGTAGCTCTTTGTTCTCTAAATTAACTTTGTGCAGTTTTTCAGCCAGCTAGAGAAAAACAGAGATTGAGTGAGAGGACTTGCTTCATGATTCCTTGGAAGGCACCAACATCAGGTGAGCATTTCTCTAAAACACCAAGAACATTCCTCAGACCAGAAGAATGTGTCACAAAGGTTGTGAGGTTTAATTCTATAGCAACTATGCAATTGTATATCTTGGGGCCTCTTCTATAAGTTAGGACAAATGTATAGAAATGTGGTGAACCTGATATAAAGCCATAAAGGAATAATCTACACTGAATGGGAAATAGCATTAAGAAACTCGACAACTCAGCATCATCTCGGTGTCCCTTTCACAGAACATAAACTACGCTGGGGAAAAGAAAACGTAACATCCGCAAAACTCTTGTGCAAAATGTCTTTTGGTACCAGGGATCGAACTCGGGTCCTTGCACTTGCAAGGCAGGAGCAGAACCTCTGAGCTAAATCTCTGGCCCTGCAAGATGTCTTTGAGCAGACATTATTCTTGCTTCTCCTTAAGTACAGTTGATCGTCTGCCTCTGTGGGTTTTGTATCTAAGGATTTAAGTAGCTACATATGGAAAATATTTGGGGAAAAAGTTCCCGAAAATTCTAATAAGTAAAATTTGGATTTGCCATGCACTAAGTACTAGGAAGACAGGAATTACTTAAGGGAAGTACTGTGTAGCATTATATAAGGAATTCTGAATTAAATGTAATTCAATTTAAAGTTAATTTAGAGCACATGCAAGGACGTATGTAGGCTAAATGCGATTACATTGCCATTTTATCTCAGAGATTCGAGCGTTCTTGGATTTGGGTATTTGTAAGTGTGTCTTGGAACCAACCTCGCACAGATACCAAGGGATGACCATGTTTCTATTTGAAGACAAATAAATAGCACCCATCCGTCTTCTGTGTGAGTTAACAGTTTTGTGTTTGGATATCTCTGTTAGATTGTTTCAAAAGAGGTAAAAAGTTAAGTTTAGTAGGAATGGGTGAGTAGTTTCAAATAACCTTCTGGCTGAGTACCACTAAAACAGCTGGATGCAAACAGTGTTCTTAAAAGTCTTGAAGAAATAACAAGATAATGAAGACTGTTGAGGCCCAATTCTAGGAAAAAGCAAGAACCCATCATGAAAGCTTGGCACCCAAATCCTTCCTGTCTGAGCACCTTCACCAGCGTGGAAGCAAAGCCCTTTGGGAACGGAGACTTGGCTGTCTTGGGTGGCAAGGGACAAAACCCAGTGGGAACTCACCCAGACTCAGAACCCCGGGGAACCTCCACCACTACAGCCTGGAAGTTCCCAGGACTTTGCCAGAGAAATGAAGGCAGACTAAGGTGGGTTCACTCCCCGCACACCCGAGGGAAAGTAAATGCAGATCTGTTCCTGAGGAAAATACCGTTGTTATAGGCTTCAAACAGTTTTTATAAACATTTTTAAAAAGAGGGCGCTGTGCACCTCGCAGTTTCCCACCAGGGACAGAAGGAATTAAGACAGCATGAACAAAGTTTGGTAGAAACAGCAACAGAAAGAGACTACAGCCTGGCAAAGACATCAGGTATAGAAGTATCAAACGCTGAGTTACAAAACTGTCACATTTATAGTAATCAAAGAAGTATTGGAAAGCATGTCTGGAAATAGCATAAGGAAAAGGAAATAGAAGGCTTGAAAAGGCACCAAATAATGATCAACTGGAAATTACAATAACTAAAATCAAGAACTCAGATACGACTGCCCTCTCTAGACCGCTGCAATGGGGAAACAAACAGTAGAAAATACAGAGGAGAGGGTAAGATAGAGAGTCAGACATTGGTACAAATAATTGTACACACACAATCGGAGTCTCAGAAAGACAGGAGAGAAAACAGCACAGAAATGTGTGTAGATAACAGCTGGGAATGCTGCAGAATTTACAAGGGTTAGAATTTCACATTTTTAAGATGCTAAGTAAATCCCAGAGAGAATAAATCAAAAGGAAAAATTTGGCCACATCATTGTGAAATTGAACAGCTAAGGCAAAGCAAACAAAGAAGACTCAAAATAAATGGGGCATATGCCATAGTCATGGTTTCGAAGCCTCAATACTGGAAAAATGTGGGTCCTATTCAAGGGTTCACTAAGAGTCTACAGTTTCTACCCTATTACAAATAGTAAATTGTACAGAGCGCTGCTCACTGTGAAGTGACCACTCACTTGTACCCGTGGCATTTTGCTATGCATTGAAAAGAGTCCCTGCATATTTGCCTCTTTGCGCGAGTAAACCATGCCAGGTTAGGGGTCCTAGACCATTCACATAATGATGAAAGCTGAAAAATGTAGAGCTCTCGACTGGAGTTTGTCTAACAGCCCCTACAAACAGGGAATCAAAGGAAAGAAAACAATAGTTTGCCCTAAATATGAAAGATAACTTGATAACCAATGAACCAAAACAACAAACCAACTTGGTCAGGTTTCTGTTATCCTTTCCACTAAGAGAATCAAAGTAGGCTCAGCTCCTAAGAAAAGCCATCTCTCATGCGAAAAGGTCACAAACCCCCAATGGAAATAATTTCATTGGCATCATTCTCCTAAGAGGGAAATACCGTCCCCATGGATTTTCAGGGCATGCGCGCAGGCTCAGAGGGAGGGAGATGCCACACTTTGCAGCACAAAGAATTTGAACGTGAGATGGTCGGCATCCAAGAGCGAGGAGATAGATGAGCAGCTGTGAGCAAAGAAAACGCAAGGGACAAGGCTTTGTGCTGTGTAACGGGATTCTTCCCCATGACCATGGACATTTCCCAACAGTTTGCAATAGATTATCCAATGCTGAGTGTTATTACACTGCTTTGGAAACTAGGAAAAGGGAGGAACTTTATACATAGTTGACTTGGTACAGTGCAGAGAGAGAGGACGTAGGCCAGTGGTGATGAACCTATGGCACACGTGCCACAGTGCGCACGCAGAGGAGCACTCTCTGACGCGGGCGAGCCCGAACACCGGCATCGCCCCAGCAGTCCAGCACCAGATAACCGTGCACGCAGCGGCACTGTCGGCACTTTCCCATAAACAAGTGGGTTTGGGGTTGCAGTTTGGGCACTCGATCTCCGAAAGGTTTGCCACCCTGATGTACGTAGAGGTACTGACACTATGAAAATTAGGTATGCACATGTGGGTGTGAGGGAGGAGATATCAAGGACATTCCTTCTTTGTTGCAAGGAACAAGAAAAATTTGAGCTATCTGTGGTGTGTATATAACGTATGTTTATATATATATATATATATATATATATATATACACACATAAATGGGGTCACATTATACATACTGTTTTACAATATAGTATTAGTCACTAACATATTGTAGCAATCCTAATGCTAGTTTAAATAAGACTCTTTAGTTGGATCTTAATTATACTTCCCCTTCTCATTTTTCACAATCATAATGAACACTTCACTGAACATCTTTCAGCCAAGTCTTGGTTTGCACCCATGATTGTTTATTTATCACATATTTTTTAAACCTAAATTCAAACAATATCTAAATTTTTAAAATAAGTTGGCTTAGAATGAGAAAGAAAAAAAAAAGCAAAACAAAACAAATGAAACGTTTAGAGCATTTTCCTGATTCAAGTACTTCTAAATAATAGTAATATCATTAATACTAGGTTACTACACATCAGCAAGGTCACTTACTTCTCTAAATATTTCACATGAAGCATGTCCACACAATGACCATATCCACAGCAAAAAATAACTAAAAAATAATTCATCTTCAAATGGACAGCTTGTTCTCTTTCATACATGTGAAATACTTCAGTGAAAGATAAACTCTTCACATACAGTACTGTCAGTGGTCATAATTATGAGCCAATACACAATTTACTGTGGGAAATGACACATTTCTCCCACATATTTAGAATATGAACTGAAAAGTAAAGCCTGATCATAATCTGAAAGTCATCATTTCTGTCCTCATACCTGTTTTATTTTATACAATTGCTCATTTTTTTCATATTTTGATGAATCATTCAGTTTTTCCTTGTGAGTTGTAAAAAAAGCCCTATAAACAAAGGAAACCCAACAGATTTATGTCAGAACAGTCAGAACATGTTTTGCAGCAAAGCCACATTTATAAACATAAAAAAGTTCCCATCCCTACCTTCCCATAGAAACTACTTAGATATATTTATTAAAATAAACATTTTTACCCTTTTAAATTAATGAATTGATACTTTACTCACTCACTCATTGAAGAGCATTTGTTTTTCTTTTTTAGTTACCTGGGATCGAACTCTGGACCTTGTGCTTGCGAGGCAGGGGGCAGAACCACTGAGCTACATCCCCGGCCCAAGAGTAATGATTGAGCATCCATGCTGTGCTAAGTCTATTCTAGGTACCAGGGTTACTGCGTACACAACACCCCTACTCTTATGGAAATTACATGCTAGTGTAGTCATCAGAGTGGAAGCAAGGTAACAAAAAATAAATCGTGTATTTCAGATAGTTAAGTCTCCCAAAGAAAACAAAGAAGGATAAAAGATAGTGAAGGCTAAACAGAGCGCGCCTTTGGACAGGTGGTTAAGAAAGGCCCCTCTGGGATAAACTGTGAAAGATCTAAGTGATGAGGAGTCAGCCATGCTGGGATCTGGAGGAAGAGCGTCGACGGAGAAGGAACAGCGAATTATGAGGCCCGGAGGGAGTAAAAAGCATGATGTATCGAAGGAAGGGTCTAAAGAGGTTGGAGAAATAGATGGGGACTAGATCATACAGGGTCTTGAGGGCAAGGCAGAAGTTCGGTCTAGTTTGAAGGGAACCAAGAGAAAACTTGTTAAAGTAGGAGGGTGACACAAGCTGATGGACGTCCTGTAAAGATGATTCTGGTTACTTTGTGGAGAAAGGCAACAGTTCGAGAAGAGATATTGCGTAAGAAGGCTACAGCAGGAAACCAACCTGGAGATGTTATGGCGGAGGAGGGGTGCGGATACACGCGGGTGAACTCAGGACACACTGAAAAGACGATGGCAGCCGTATGTGCCTCTGGATGCAGCTCAAATTAGTGTTGGTTTGGATCTAGGTAGTCATGAAGAGAGGAATGGTGGGCGACTCTGAGGCTTTAGCGCGAGTAAATGGAAAACAGTGGTGTCATATCCGCTGACATGGAAGATTGCGGTAGAGCTGTCTCAGGAAGTTGGGAGATCGAGAGTTCTGTGCAGCACGTGTTTTGTCCAATATATCCAATACAGACCCTCCAAGTGGAGAGGGCATGGAAAACTGTGCATTTAGAACTCAGAGAAAGAAGTGACGTATGAGACCTGTCCGTACTGCGGCCGGAAAAGCCTTTGAGTTATACAAGTATTTAAAACCATGCAACTGGATGAAATAAAGTAGGAAAATATAATCAGAGCATGGCGATGGGTTGAGAACTCCAAAATTTAGACTAAAAAGACTTGACACAAGTAAATGCTCCTAGAAGGACAAATCAGTGCAGTGAAGGAAGACAGTGACGTTTGGGAAGATGAGCGGAAGCTGTGCTCCAGGAAGGAGGGAGTGATGGGCTTTGTCAGTCTATTGTGAGCTCAAAACGTTAAGGGACAGTCTAGACCATCAGAGTGTAAAGGATGGAAGTCAGCGAACATTCTGAAGTGATTTTAGCCCTCCAGATGATCTGTCGTCTTCACAGCGTCGTGTACTTTATTGGCAAGGACACAGGCTCTCGTCTATGTACAGAATTTAACTCCCACCTCACATTTTCCATGGGCTGAGAGCCCAGTTGGATGACATTGAAATGAGGGACCACAGCACTGGATTCACAATCGCTGTACAGACGTAACATAGGATATCATTGATAGGAAAAAAAAAAAAACCAGAATCAAGCCATCAATGTCATCTGTAAACTCGGGGAGCATTTGAAGCACTATTAATTGTCCTAACACATAAAATTTATACTTGTGGTTGAGTACTTTTGTTTTCCTTCATATTTTGACCTTAGATGAAGTTAAAGATTTCATGGCAGAGGGGACTGAGGCTTATAAATTGCTAGGAAGGTGAAGTCATGCAAATGATTTTAGCGTCTTGTTATTCTTACAGAACACTATAAAACATCACTGGTTCTGCAAATCCACCAACCAAGGATTAAGTTGGCTCTTTCCACCTCCACATAGAGAAGAAATAAATTAAGAAATTAAATAAAAAACTACAGAGGATTTTCTTCTAATTTTCCAAGTAATGAAGAAGGCAAAGTTTTAGCACTCAAAATGAGGTTAACCTACATTCTCAATTATCAGTTAATAAAAAGTATTTTTCTTTGGTGAGATGGTACATAAATGAAATTTCTTAAAAAGCTGGGGTATCAAAAATGATGAACTGTTGGAGCTGGGCACAGTGGCACATGCCCGTAATCCTAGCACTCAGGAGGCTGAGGCAGGAGGATCTCTATGAGTTCGAGACCGGGCTGGCTACATAGTGAGTTCCAGGTCAGTCTCAACTACATAGTGAGATCCTGTCTCAGGAAAAAAAATGAAAGGTCAACAAATCCACATTTCCTTCTTGAATATGTGTAAAGATAATTTAGCTTACATGCTTAGAATAAAACTTCAACTATGTAATGAGGTTTGAATCAGAACTGTTAGAAACAAATAGCAGCTCCATATACTTCACAGTGTTTTCCTTTGTTTAGTTTTTCCTTGAAATATGAGGTGCAATCAAAATATTAAAGTTTTAAATTAAAAAATACTACAGTTAAGTACTACAGTTGAAAATTTAAAAAATACTACAGTTGCCATTAATGTCCCACGAAACACTTCCTCTCACTTTAAACACACATATCCTATTGTTCTTGTAACTTTCTGAAGCAGTTCTGTAAGTCTCCTTACATGAGTGTCTTTATGAGGTGTGATTAAAAATGCAGTGACTGGGCTGGGGATTTAGCTCAGTGGTTCCCGTGCTTGCCTTGCAAGCACAAGGGCCAGAGTTTGATCCCCTGTACCAAACAGATGCAGTGGCTGCTGCTGCTGAATGCCATCCAATAGAAAGGCAGGATCATAAAAACATTACAGTGTGTTCTCATTCACCCATTCACTGGATCTGGGACCATACGACTTCTGGCTCTTCCTCAAAGTCAAAATGACCATGAAAGGTAAATGTTTTGGATGAACTCAGGGCAATGAGGGTACAATGACAATACAACTGAAGACACTCTTGAAAAAGGACTTTGAGATCTGCTGTAATACACTTGTTTTTAGTTTAAACATTCACTGTTTTTTCAACCACACTTCATATGTACAAACTAAAACTGCAGAGTCACTTACAAACTAAGAGGTTTTTCCCTTTGTGTTTTACATGTGGTTTTAAATGCGCTTTCCTATTTTTCAATTTTATTCTGAGGATAAAGATTTTTCTATTTCTTGGAATGATGATGGTAGATTAGCAGTGTATTCTGCAATTCCTGATTTAGAAGACACATTTTTAAATTTCAGTACATTTAAACCCATGTAGAAATGAGTCACGTCATAACAGGATTCTAATGTAAAGTTGCTTGTCTTTTGGGAATTTGCTTAGCCTAAACTTCATCTCTTAGAGTCATGGAGTCACCAAGGTGGGCCCAGAAGACAAATTACAGGACCCCATCTTCCTGGCCAGAGCTGACTAGACCAGGCTCCAAAGCCGAGCCAAACGCATGGTGATGTGGACTCTGGGAGACCTCCTGGGAGGGTGTGCTGGTTCATCTCCGCAAACAGCCGGACCTGGGGCAGGTCAGTTCGGAGGGCTCACACAGCCGTGCTTTCCCAAGTGCTAATCAAGTAGAGGGTACTGGGCGTGGAGAGAAAGACAACAGCGAAACACTTGGCAAAAGGAGGCTCGGACTTTCTTCCATGTGAATTTTCTCAGTGAATCCTGCAAGTTCCTCTTGACTGAGAACAAATACAACAGCGTAAGTAGCAGCATATCCCGCCGATGCCTTTCTCCGTAGGAAGTTTCCTTTTCATGCTCTTTGGTAGGGAGTCAGGAAATGAGGTAAGAATATATAGTTAATACTTAAATTGCAAAAGATATTGCAGTTAAAGGCATACTGCCATTGATGCCCCTCAGAGCACTCTCTCTCTCCTGCTTCAAACACACTTACCGCACTGTTCTTGTCACTTTCTGAAGCAGTTCTGGAGGTCCGGTTCCAAAGAGTTAATCCAGAGTCCCTCCCCTTTCCCAAAGTGTCTGTGTCACCCTCAAAGTTTTTCCTCTGGGCATCTGAAAGACTAGCTAATTATAACATGAAGACGTGATGCCATAACTCTATCACACCACTTTGAGTGAAGTAAGGAAATCTAATTTTCATCTAATAGTGAAGACATGTTTTAAAGAATGAAAACAGCACTTTAACTGCTAGAGTTTGATGCTGAATGTTCCTCAGAGACTAAAGCATTAAAGGCTTGTTCCCCAGTGCAGTGCTTTTGGGAGGTGGTGGAGCCTTTAAGAGGCAGAGCCTTGTGGGAGGGCTTTAGATGGTTGGCCACGTGCTCTTGCAGAGGACTGTGGGACCTCGGTCTCTTCCTTTTCTTGCTTTTTACTTCCTCTGTGGCAGGCAGGTTTGCTCTGCAACGCATTCCTGTTACAATGTGCTGCCTTCCCATGGACATAAAGCAAAGGGATCAACCATTCAGGGTCTGGGATTTCTAAATTCGTGAGCTAGAAAAACCTTTTTTCTTCATGAGTTTATTTCTTCAAGTACTGTGTTATAGTCATGGAAAAATATATTAACATCTAGGACTACTTCAGTAAAACTAAAGCATCACACTTACATTTTATTCTCTAGAATCTTGCAAGCATTTGTTACTTCATCCACCTTTTCTTCCCACTCCTTTATTGATGATTGTAGCTGTGCTATCTCTAAATTGTGATCACTAAGAACCTATTAAAAATTCAACAAAAACATGACATCTAATCATCACCAAGTGGTTCACAGCAACAGTTTGATTCCAGTAAATATTCATGATTTACTCATCGAACTTGTAAAAGGGAGCTGTCCCTTAGTGTTAAAAAGTAATCATTACAATTGTTTTTTCATAAGATAAATTTAGTCAAAGATAACTTTTAAACCTTCAGAAAACCTAAAACTTGACATGGAGGGGGACCTAACATAGCAATGAGAATGTAAAAACTGTATTAAAAGTTTTGACACAAGAGGTTATTTTGTGTAGCTTTAAAAAATAAGTAAATTAATATTGTCAGAATCATCTTCAAAATATTAGCAAGAGATTCTAGAATGAGTATTACAAAACAGTAAAGATTTTTTTTTGCATTAATTGAAGGCTACACTTACGATGAAAACCTTCTTTCTTAATATTTGATTAATATTTAGGGAATGGAAATAATTGGATACTGTGATAAAATGTTGGCATGACTGGAAGGAAAGTGGGTAAGAGAAATTTATAGTGCAATAGATACTTTTGCAATGCAATTTGGGTTTAAGGAAAGGGGAAGTCAAGCTCGTTGAATCTTGGGTTTGCATTTTATCTTGTGAGGGCAGAGAAAGGAGCTGAGGGAAGACTGCCAGACAGATGGTGCTGCTTTCTGACAGACCTGTGTGGACAGGTTTTTCAGAACCTGTAAACCTGGACCTGTGAGGACAGAGAAATTCCTGGGGCGAGGAAGCCCAGGGGTGCTTGCAGCCCTGCTGTAGGAGGTGAGGAGGTGAAAGCTGACCACAATAGCTTCTTTCCCCGAGACATGCATCTCCTAGTGGCTAAGTTTCTACATCCTAATTAGTCACAGAGTCACAGGGGCCTAGAATCCCAGCACTGCCACCAATACAGGCAGAATGTGGCCAGGTCTCTGACTGCTCAGCAGGATCTGGACTCCACGTGGCAGCTAGTCCTGACATTCACCGTCTTGAATTTCGATCATCCATCCTGAACCTGTGGGCTGCCTTGAGATTCTTCTCAATTATTCCCTGCCAACATCACATGACCTTGACCTAGTTGCAGAGACTTCTAAACCGAAGATGCCATATGGAGGCTAATCTGAAATTCCCTGTGGTTGTACTCCATAGTCAAAATGTTGTCTTCCAGTCTTAGCAACCACCACCACAAACTTTGCCAAATACGGAGCAGTGAGCGAAAGCCGGATGGGCACGACTGCATTTCATCTCTGCGAAACTCTTTACAACACCATTTTGCCCGTGAAAAAAACTCCAGCTTGGCGGACCCAAGATTTGAACTCAGGTCCGTGGGACCCTTAAGTTTGTGCTTTCAGGGCTACTCCCTGTAATGGTGGGTGGTGGTGGGCAGGCGGGATTGTGGGAGTTTGAGAAGGAACTTTGGATGGCCTGACAGACCTTTGGAGTACAAGTTAAGGAACTTATACTTATACTCCCCAGACTAAGTGCTTGGGGAGTGCTAGTGCTTGATTTATGATTCATGGAAGCCAAACTGGAAATATGAGCTTGGGACTGCAGATAAAATGTTTTATATAACATTTATATTCTCATTTTTCCTAGCCTACTGTCATTATATTTACTATGTTGAACACTTAAAAATAATGATCTCTTCAAATGCACGTTTCTGATATCACCAATTTTTTTTCTGGTACCACGGATCAAATTCAGGACTCTCACACTTGCTCACCGAGATATAGCTCTGGCCCCCAATGTTCTATAGCTGGATTAAAATGAGTAGAACCACAGAACCACTTCCATATGAAGAATAACAGAGGGCCTGGGGCTTAGCTCAGTGGTTCCGCTGCCTGCTTCACAAGAGCAAGGTCCCACGTTTGATCCCTGGTACCAAAAAAAAAAAAAGAATAATGGAATTAGTGCATTCTCATAGAAAATGTGACGTTTTCATATTACTGTTACATCAATATTGTTTTGCATGTGATTTTTACTACACACAGAAATACATTAATGCACTTATTAATTCCATTAATCTGCATGGAAAATTAACAAGCATTTGTTTTGACACCAAAGACATATTAACATTAACCACCTTCGTAAGCTTCAATTTCCAGATTTTAAAAATAAAGTTAATTCTTACAAAATACATATCACAGTGCTGGCTTTCAATAAATTATTTTACAGAGAAGCACGAAGCTGAAGTATGTTTAAATTCAAGTAGACAGTCTCCTTCCACACTGATGTTACTGTAGCCAATATTAGTGGACAGCCCAAACTCTGTCTTGTTATTCTGTATTCAGAGTCAAGGGATTGCCATAGTTATTCATTTTGTTCTTTCAAATAAAGCAATCTTACAGAAATATTTTATGCATATATGTATGCACATATATATTTCGTTAGTTCTTTTTTGTTGTTGCTTTTTTGAGACAGGGTCTCACTATGTCTCACTGACCTGGAACTCACTATGTAGGCTGGTCTCGAACTCACAGCGATCCTCCTGCCTCAGCCTGCTGAGTGCTGGAGTTGGCGTGTGCCACCACACCCAGCTCTTTGGTTAGTTCTAAGTCTGTTTTCTGATAAAAAATTTCAAAATATTTGGGCCAACAGATGCAATTTGTACCTAAAACATCTTTCTTCACGCCATATTCCTGAAAACACAGTTGCACCACAACACTTCAAAAAAGTGTGTCAGAAAACATTAACATGACAGACGTGTTCTTCCAGAGTGGCATGAGAATGAATTAAAGTCAGTTCCTTTCCAATTTTTGTTTTTTTTCCTAGTACACGTTTGCTGTACATAATGATTACATTCCTTGTGGGGAGTTGGTGCACGTACAGAACACATTTTAATTCTGTTCTCACCCCTGTCCTCCTCTCCCTCCAACTCTTGGTCCCTTTCCCTTTTGCAAAGAATTGAGCACCCTACTGAGGTACCCAGGTCAGGCTTGAAAAAATGTAGTTTATTCTTTCTTACCACTGTGCTGATGCTGACTGTTTGTTTAATTTTTGTCATTCTATTTCTTAATTTTTCCAATTCTTCCTTCTTTTTAAAAGTCTCCTTTGTTGCAAGTTCACAAATTTTTTTAAATTCATCAATCTACAGTGACAAACAGAAGAAGCCAATAAAAAAAACAAAGTTTAGAAAGTCTTTTTTCATTTGCCAGCTCTGTTCAGATTCATTCTAAGTATGCCTCATTCAATCTCAACAGGCAAGTAAAATAAGATAAAATAAAACAAATGTGCAGTGTCACAGGAAACAAAATACACCATATAGGTCTAACCATAATTATAAAACACTAAAATATTCAATTTGTAAGAGCACTGATGACTGTTTAAAGTGTCCCCCCCAAATCTCACATTCGGGGGTTGGAAGGGGCGGGTCACGGGGTTGACCGGGAAGTCCTCCTCGGCAGATCCTCTCTTCTCTTTCTACTTCCTGGCTGCTTCGCAGTGAAGTTTTTTTCATGCCTTCCTACCATGTGTTTCCACCTTAAAGCCTGGGCGGAATCAGGGCTTTGCTCTCTGGATCTGGTACCCTTTCTGGGGAGACAGACCAGGCATAGGCTCCTCGTGGCCAAGTCCAGCCTTCCCCGGACTGAAGTCTCCTTTTTTGTTGTCAGGTACTGTTGATGTCTACTTTTGTGCTGCGGAGAGCGGATTTCTCCAAAGATTTGCTATCTGACCCTTTTCGGGAAGACTTGAGGACCCCTGAGATAGACTACTCACATAGCATAGCAATAAAGAAGCACTCTTCACACTGGAAATTCCTGTATGAAGCCCCTCTGAACTTTCTTCATGTTTGTATTAAAGAATGAGAAAGAAGCTTTCCCTGTACAGCTTAAAATAAAGTTAGAAACTCATTTATTTGAGAAAGTGGGAGAGTGTGCCTACCTATGTGAGGTGTGCAAGCCTTGTGCTTGGTTTAGTTCTGCGCAGCGTTCCTAACGGCGGGCGGAGGTCAGGCTGGACACCACCCCTGACTCCTTCACTGTGTTCTGGACCAGTTCCTTCTGGACAAGTGCCCTTAGCAGATCTACCCCCCCATCTTTTAACGACTCCCCCCTTTCACTGATACTGTAACTTCTAGAGAAGCTTCAGCAATGCCTGCACTTTTCTCTAGTTTTATGGCAAATTGCATGTATTGTGTGATCAGTGAACACAAAAAATATGAATTAACTTGAAGAAAAGTAATGTGTCTATGCCAAAAGAAAGTGAGGTCTTTTGTGATGTTCTGGGAAAGAAGAAAAGACAATGCCTGTTTGAGAGATGACACTCAGTATGTAGATTTCCTGTCCATTTGACCGTCTCCCTTAATCTTCTATAAATGCCCTTCACACCCTAAGACAGAGATTCGAGGCAGAAGGCTCCTCTGACTTCTTCAGGGCCACAACCTAATTCCTTCTGTCAACTTTGTGTCCTGCATTTGTAGTCACGGAAGCGGTGAGCACAGACAATCGATCCCAGTAACAGCTAGATACTGAATTCATGATGCTTTCATCCAGGACTTCCTAGCTTTCAGAACCCTATTATTTATGAATTGCACAGTCTTCGGTATTTGGTGTAACAACAAAGACAGACATTGGGCAGGATCCTTGCCAGCTACATTTAAAAATGCCTGTTACACAGAAGATGTCAGCTGGGCTCTCCATTCTCAGGGAGAAGAGCACATGTCTCTAGGAAACTACGACTGTACTTCTGAAGGGTAGACATTTTTAAGGGTAAAACATGCAGATATAGTTGGAATTTCTAAATAGCCCAAGACTTATCATTGAATTAACTGCCATAGGAAGGAAATGTTCGCTGCCAGAAACTAAAGAGAAGCAATAAACCAAGCTCCCTTCTGTCCCTTGCTCCTTCGTTCCTCTTCTTGAATCCACTTAATACCAGATGGTTCACAGAGGATATGATAAACTGTACGCAGGATGAGCTTCGAAAACGACCCTCACATTCCTTCCCGTAACAAGCACACCTGTGCGCCACTCCGCGGTGTCAGACCTTATTGTAAAGGCGACGGACATCAGCCACCTTCCGAGGCAGGTAGCCAACGGCCCATCTCATCCTCCCTCCTATTCTTTCCCAAGCCTATGCGTCTTACCTGTAATTTCTCAGGCTCAAGAAACCCCGTTGAAGGTTCCGAGCTCTTCCCAAGCCTGTGACCCTCTCTGGGAACTTGCCAACTGCTTGCTTCCCGGCAGTGTATTCAGTACCTTTCCCGTTTTCCTGTCTGGTCTTGGTAAGCTCTTTTCCACCCATGTCACTGGCCCTCCATTCACTCCTCTGCCTTTCCCTTCCTCCCTCTTCCTGTCTTTCCCTCTTTCCTTTCTCCTTCCCTTCCTAGTCCCCTGCCCCTTCCCTCCTCTCGTTCCCCCCTTCTTTTCCCCTTGTCTTTCTCCCCACCTTTAACGTAGCACCGCTGCATGCCTAAGTCCGACGTCTGACCTTTATAATCTATGGTTATGCTGACTCCCATCTTGGAAAAGGCAGCGTCAGGAGCCTCACTGCCTCATCATAAGCTTGGCTACTCTGCTGCAGAGGGAGGATGAAGGCTGCTGTTGGGCACACCGACCACGGGGACAGACTCACCTCTCCTGGGACATTTGGAAGCTGTTGGATGAGAATTTTAATTTACACGACATAGCCTGGCAGCTCCTACTAAACACGGAGGCTCCTGCCTACCCTCACTACATTTCTGGCCTGAGAAATTGTTTGCTCTTTGGCCTCTGCTCCAGCCAGGCCCTCCATAGGCTGCTCCTCTCTTGGGTCCATTCAGCGGGGGCAGCAGTTGTCCACAGGTGCTCTGCCTGGCCTTCTTGGTCCTGTCCATACAGACTCGGCCTTAGGACTGCCAAAGGCAAGCAGCTATAATGATGGCAAATGCCTTGTCCCTTTATGGCTGCATCTAAGCAAGGGGTCACCAGAGTGAGGAATCCTGCCGCTTAGCCTTTCCCATGAACTGAGATGTGGGGACACAGTCAAATGCCTTTTCCAAGAGGCTCCGGATGTCCCTGAACCTCCAGCCCTATCCCTGCCTCAGTGCTCACAGAAGATATAATGAAGAGCATTTGCCAGCTGTGAGGACAAATATATTATTTCCAATTTCCCACTCCAGGTTATAAATAATTCTGTGTTAAACAAATAAAACACGCCACTTACCTGTGTAGTTAGTTGCTGTTTTCTTAGCAAATATTCTGCCCATTGTTTGGCTATTTGCTCCTTCGTCTCCTGCACATGTTTTCTTTGTATCTCTACGTCTTCTCTTTCTGAGCTTATTCTGGCACAGGTATCATTTATATAGATGGCGGCCTGGGATTTTTCTCGCATTGTTTGGTTGAGTGCCCGGACAAACCTCTCATGCTGCTTCGCCAGCTCTTCTTGCTTTTTACTAGGAGGAAAGAACTACTCTTGTCATGAAAACGATGACGCTTGGGAAAGGAATTTACAGTCTTTTTGATAAGATGAGCCCTCATTAAGGGGGAAACTGTAAGGGTTGCTTCTTCTCTAGATGTGTTTGTGGTGAGATGGGGGCAGAAGGAAGCACAGAACAAGTGTAAATCTCATGACTGTTCACTTGCTACGAATGTGTCACACGTTCACCATCCCTTCATGAATCCCCACACGCCAAGCGGTACATATGAGATATTTTGGCTTAAGCTACAGAATGACTCAAAAGCCATTTTGAAAAGGTAATGGGATCTGGCCCGGTGAATATTTGGATATGTTGCTATGTCAAAGAAGGATGCTCATCCTACCCCATTCCCAGCCACCCTCTGATGCAGACAGGGTGGCCCAAGAGAAAGCTAGCCTTCCTCTGGACAGAAATGAGGGAAAGGAGGAGGCTGAGGCTATCTTTACCCTTTGGAAGAGGCTTGAGACCTAATTCGAATCCTTTTATCTTCTTGGCCAGATCTGAGTACAAGAGAAGTAATTCATCTCTTCAAGCCCTCTGTCAGATCATGGTCATAGCCATCTGAGGAAGACTTAATGTTAGGAAAAACATCTACCCAAGGGCTACCAATACAGATTTGAAGGAAAGATAATTGGTTCCGTTTCTCCATTTTACTTTTAAAAATCTCTTTCAATGTGAAAAAACCTTTCTTTTTCTAATCCCTGGGTTAGAGACTTTAGCACAGGAGATTGTTCCTGAAGGCTCAGAAAAATGGGATTAGATTGGTTGGAAGTTAATTTTCCAGAGGTCAAACTCTGCAAAAGAAATGCAAGAAACGGAAGCCTGAGCATGAGGCTCAGTGTGGGGAAAGGCACAAAACAAACAATCAAACAAACAAAACTATGGGTTGGGAAGAAGAAAACACCCACAAAAAGAGTTTGGGCCCTAAAGCAAGCACACTCCAGGAATTGTCTTGTCTTCCATTTTCTAGGACTGCGCAGGAAGAAGAGGAGCTATGCTCACTGCCCATCAGAATGTGGGCACCATTATGTGCCATCTATTTTTGAAAATCAGATGCAACAAGTGATTGAGGTTTGTTGGTGCTGCTAGCTCACCAAGCAACCGCCTTCCGTTTGTAATTTGTCTTCCCAAGGGCTTGTCTAAAGCAGTGGTTCTCCAAGTGTTGTCTGGACAGTAACGTCAGGCTTACCTGGGAACTGGCTAGTATTCCAGTCCCCACCCAGCTGTTCTGGTCCTACTGAATTCTAGTGGTTTGCGTCTTATCAAAGCCCTCCAGGGATTCTGATGCTTGCTCAAGTCTGAGAATCACAGGAATAGAGGGGCGTGGTGTTGTTGACCAGTTGATTATGAACGTCCATCCTCGGGCTATTCTTTCTGGTGTAGAAATAGTCTACTTCACATAGCTGTCTCCGGCAATGATGGTGAGCATGCACTCTACACAGATCCGCACTGTGAGTCCCCAGGGGGATTGGACTATTCTGTGTTTCTCACACTTGTGTCATTATGAGCTTTCTTTTTCATGGAACTTGTCCCTGGACAGTGTTCTGAGAGTTTGTTCCAGGTACCGAGGTCCTCATGTAATGACTGATACTTTGATATATCCTGCACCTTCTCAATTATTCTCAAGCAGCTTCTCAATTATTCTAGATTTCCATACATATGTTTTCCTCGTGAGAAGGGCTCCTTTGAACAATTCTCCTTCTGGAAAACCGGCATTCTGATACTTATGCATTAGTTTTGCAGATTTGCTCGTAGCACTAAGTTATTCTTCAGTTTTTCTCCCTCGGAATACAGTTCTTGATCTCTTGAGCTGGGTAAGTGAAGAGTTGTGATTCATGTTTCACAGGTGGAACCGATCAGTCGAGTGCTGGTCTCAGGCAACACAGGACATCACAGGTGTCAGATCCTGAGCTATACACAGTCACACATTAATTCCTTTAACTGCAGACAAAAGCGGGGCTATTCCCCTGGGAAACCCATCCCATCGTCAGCCCTCCATAAGATGATAACTATGGCTGAACATCTTTAAGGAGCCAGATTAGGTAGAGCAGATCTGGTCTTATATTATATTTACGATTCGATCCCAGCCAGACTCCTTCCTTTGGAGGTGATAAAATCTATGGAAACAAGAGCTAAAACCTCTGTGCGCCTCTACCTTTTGAGATTGCATTTGAATGGATGTGATTCAGTTCAGATCATGTAGCAAATCCCCTGAGCCAGTTTTCCCTGTCCAGCCCCAGACCCCTGTTCCCTCAAGTGCTGAATTTAAAGTACCTACCCCAGAGCTTCATTCACTTTTTCCAGGCCAATTATTGTCTTCTTTAGAGACTTTATTTCATCATCCTTTGCATTAATTCTTATTTGCATTTGGTTTATCTCACAGATATTTAACCTGCGGGCATCTCTGATGCTCTCTTAAAAGTAAGTGAAAACGTTACTAAATTATGTGGGAAAGAGTACAATTATAAGTACTGACTCTTCAAATAATAAAAAAGTCCTTCTTTGAGATATTCTTTTAATTATGTTTCTGGGTCAGAAACCTCTTACCACTTTGGTCCTTTTATATGGTTCCTATATTTTTATTTCTCTGTTTCCATGGCTGCTATGAACATTAGCTTTCCATGGGCTCTGGAAAACATTAGACAGGAGCAGTCTGACAGCACCTGATTCCTGCTGTCTCACATACCTCCCACCTCCTGACTAGGACTTTCCGACCCTTCTACTATGAGATTTTTCTAGCCACCGGAACCCAGGCATGTACAGTGCAGGAGGCGAGGCAAACATCCAGCCAATGATAGAAAGAAATAAATAGTTCCTCCTTTCTCACCAATGGATGATCCTGTGGGTAGGTAACACCGTGTCTTGTGGGCACGTTCTCCTAGTTAATTAGCCAGAGCTAACATCATAATGCACCCCTATTTGTTCTCCCTTCTTCCTTACTTTTGTCTTTGTACCCCACTCTCCTCTTTGGATTGCACTGCCTAAAAAAAAGTAGTAGCTACAAAAGCCATTGTCTTCTGGGGAACTCAATGTAGTAAGGCACTAACTGTTGATCAGTAAACAATGAATCAGTGTAATTCCCTAAGATTTCAGACCACACTTCAGGACCTGACAGATGAAGAGTCAACATGCATAAAGTTTGAACACTGTTGTTGAGGCAAGTGCTAGACTATACCCATTTCTGCACAAGAAATTCGTTAGAGACCAGTTGGCAGCTCCCCTGAGAGTTAGGCTTACTTTCACAGTCCCCCTGACCAATTCCAGGCTACTATTAAATTGTTCATTGTAGCAAGGCTTCTCAAAAATCGTGTCTCAAACACGCATATATACCACCTGGCCAATATGTTAAAACACAGACTCTGCTATAGTACAGTGGCCTGCAGGGGTCCACAGAATCTGCACCTCCTAACAAGCACTTAGATGCTATTTGTGCTGCTGGTCTGAAGACGGTACTTGGAGTGGTAAGGGCTTTAGGACGTACAGCCAGCTGAATTTTGTTGAGTAAATATTCAGCATGTACCAAGGAACTTACAAGCTAATATGATCTATTTTTTTCCTTCTAAAAATTTTTTTTGTGTTATAGAAGTAACCCAATCTAGAGAATAAAGAAAAAATACCCATTTTTAATTCTAGCTTTGGTGCAGCTTTTTCTAGGTCTTATTATTTTCTTAATGTGCATGTATAGGTCATTGCATTTTCCCTAAGCTGACACCAGGTGTGTTGTATAACCTACATTATCACCTAGGACTCAGCTAGGAGTTAGAAACCTCACAGCAAATTGTCAGAGACAGTTTGTTGTAAAGAGCTACGAACTATAGCAGAGGATTTGAGCCAGCTCCCTATGAAGTACAGATATAGAACTAAGAGCCAATAAATAAATACATGGAACGTCTTTTTTTAAAAAAGTTTTTCACTTTTTAAATATTGGCTCCCTGGGAAACAGATTCTAAAGTTTTCATGTAGAAATGTGTTGTATTTCAGGAGCACCTCCAGGAAGCAGGGCCTGGCCGAGGAGAGGGTGAACTGTGAAGAGCTTTGGAACACTTCGGAGTTTAGCCTTTGCACTCTCACAGGGACCAATCACTGACTGGGGCGGCACACAGGGGGAGAAGGAAGCCTTTCGTTTTTGTTTAAGGTAACTCCTTAAACAGAGGAACTCGTCTGTGAGCTTCAGCCCACACTCCTGACAGGGGAGAGATGAAGTTGGGCCCTGACCTCACATCACACACAGAAGTTTACTGAAAATGGGACAAAGACCTAAATGTAAGAGCTACAACTATGGAATTCTTAGCGGCCGAGGGGTGGCTGAGTGGTAGAGAATTTGCCTCCCATGGCAAATTGGTTTGATCCTTTCTACTATGGCTTCTATCTAGATGTCCCCTCAAAGCCTCATTTCTTCATAGGTGGGGCTTTCCAGAAGTATCTGGATCTAGGCTGTATGAACATGCGTTCAGGGTGTGTGATAACTGGATTTGACTCATTGAACATAATTCTGGATGTGGGTAATGGAAAGGCCCACCCAGATATGAGCAGCACCAACCAAAGGGCTCACAGCCTGGATGAGATTAAAGGGAAAGAACTGGAGGACAGACAGCCTCTTTAATAAATGGCATTGAAAAACTGGATCTCAACCTGCAAAAGATTAAAACCATACCCTTATCTTTCACCATGCACTAAACTAAAATCCAAGTGGATTAAAGATCTAAATATTAAAACAGAAACACTAAAATTGCTGGAACACAAGTTAGGCAGAACTCTGGAAGACACTGGCATAGGAAAAGACTTTATGAGCAAATCCTTAGTAGCACGGGAATTAGCAGAAAGAATCAACAACTGGGATCTCGCCTCATTAAAAAGCTTCTTCACTGCAAAAGAAACCATCAGTAGAACTAAGAGATAACCTACAGTGTGGGAAAAATTTTTTACCAGCTGCTTCTCAGACAAAGGACTATTATCTAGAATACATAAAGAACTCAAAAACAATCAGCCCCCCCAAATATAAAGACCTGATTAAAAAAATGGGCATCTGAAATGAACAGACATTTCTCAGACAGAGAAGTAAAAGCAGCAAGTAAATATATGAAAAAATGTTCCACATCACTGGTCATTCGAGAGATGCAGATGAAAACAACACTGAGATTTCACCTCACCCCACAAAGAATGGCTGCTATCAAGAAATCACACAATAACAAATGTTGGCAGGGTTGTGGGGAGAAAGGAACCCTTCTCCATTGTTGGTGGGAGTGCAGACTGGTGCAACCACTATGGAAATCAATATGGAGATACCTCAAAGAGCTGGGACTAGAGGTTCCATTTGACCCAGCCATCCCTCTGCTGGGTATCTTTCCAAAAGAATTAAAAGAATCATACCACAGTGATATATGCGCACCCATGTTTATAGCGGCACAGTTTGTAATAGCTAAAACTTGGAAACAGCCCATTTGCCCATCAGTTGGAAACCGGATAAAGAAGATGTGGTTTTTCTATAAAATGGAATACTACTCAGCCATAAAGAATGAGAAATTAGATCCGTTCATAGGAAAATAGATACATTTTGAGGATATACTCCTAAGTGAAATAAATAAGTCACATATGTGTAAATACCAAATAGTTTCTCTGGTATGAATAAACTATAATAGTACTCAAGATCCCAATGGGATAATTAATAATATGAAATAGGAAGAAAAGGGCTAAAGGTGTAGGAAAAGTGGGAAGTGTAGGAGAAGGGGAATAAGGGAAAAGAAAAAAAAATGTAAGAAAATGAAAAAATGGAAATAAAGTGTTTGTAAATGGGGAGGGGAGGAGGGGGTGAAGGGAGGGCAGGGACAAGGGAAAAAAGTGAGAGCCAAGACCTGTCATGTAAAGGTACAAGATCCCAATAGTGAATGTAACTGTACTGCATACCTAAAATGTACCAATAAACTCAATAAAAAGAAAAAAAAAAGAGATTAAAGGGAAAGGAAGGCTCACTGCTGCTGCCACTTTCTGCTTGCCACACCATGGATGGTTTCTTTTCTGCAATTCTCTTCTGCCATGCTGCCCTGCCTTGGAGCCAGCCAATTATGGCCCGAAACCTCTACAAACTGAGAGCTTAAAAAAACCAAAACTTTCCTTCTTTAACTTGCTAGTGTTGGATGTTTCATCCTAGTAACAAGGAATGAAGGCATAGGAATTGCAAAACAGAATGAAACAATAACAAATACTCTTAGAAGAAACACAAGGCAAATCCTCACGGCATTCGATTTGGCACTGGTTTCTTGGATACTATACCAAAAACACAGGCAACAAAAGAAAATATGAATTAAATTAGACTACATTAAAATTTAAAACTTTTGCTTATCAAGGTCACTATCAACAGAGTGAAAAAGACACACAAAATGGAAGAAAACATTTCCAAATCATATACCTAATAAGGGTTTAAGATCCACATGCATAAATAACTTGTACAACTCAATATTCTCACTACAAAGTGCAATTAAAAAATGGACAAAAGAGGCCAGGGATTTAGCTCAGTGGTACTGTGTCAGCCTCACAAGCACAAGGTCCTGAGTTCAATATCTGGTACGAAAAAAATAGAATGAAGGACATGGACAGATATTTCTCCAAAGAAGATTTACTGATGGGTAATTAGCACATGAAAAGATGCTCAATGTCACTAATCACTGGGGAAATGAAAATCAAACCCACAATGAGGTAATAAGTCATGCTGAGTAGGATGGCTATTGTTAAAAAACAAAAACAAATGTCAGCAAAGATGTAGAGAAATTGGAGCCTTTCTGCACTGCTCCCAGCCATGTAAAATGGAGTCAAAACAACATGGTGGACCCTGAACAGTCGCATATGGAATTATCACACAACCCAGCACTTCTAATCCCGCATACACAGCCACAAGAATTGAAAGCAGAGTTTGGAGTAGACACTTGGACACTGATGCACACAGTGACAATCCCCCACCTTATGAACACTTGAGTTGCAAACGTTCCCAGGTATGACTCGATCTCACATTTGGCTTTTGTGCGTTGTCCTTTGCATATTTGTATCACAGGTGTGCAAGACTCGCTCTGTTGGACTTATGAACGTATCTGACCTGCAGATGCTCTCCTGGAAGGGGACTTCTTATTCATAGCAGCCAAAAACGCACAAGGGAAGTGTGGGGAATATATGTGGGGACGTTATCCAGCCTTAGAAAGGGAGGGGATTCTGACACGTTCCACGGTATGAATGAAATTTGAAGATCATGTGAGTGAACTAAGCTAGTCACAAAAGGGTAGATATGGCATTACCACTTTCCAGAAGTACCCAAAGTCACAGAGATAGAAATAGAGTCATGATTTAAGCACACCAAGCTGCCCAATTTAATCGGAACAACATCAATTTGGAATAGACTTGATTCATGTACCTTCAGTCTATCTAGAAACTGACTTATATAAATGAAAGTTTTATAATCAGCATATTATTTCTACTTAAAAATGTAAGCAGAAACTGTCATGAATTTCACTGCATGCAATCTTTCCGGCTATATTTACACAAGCAGCAACTATCAAGCTCATCTTCTTTAAAGTACTTGGGTCTGTTTTCTTGTAAGATAGACCAGGTCTCTATGGCTGATAACCTCAAAAGTACCTTCCAGCTCCCTGTTCATCCTCTCAGGCAGAGTTTGCAACAGAAAGTAGAATCTGCTGAGTTCCATGGTTTCCATTTCCAGATGATCAATTGTGGTCTTTCTTATTTCTTCCTGAAAATTTAAATTTCACTTTTAAAGAGTTAACCCATCAAAACAGAAACACTGGTTTCCTAAACAACGTTCTGTAAATGTTTTCTGGCATCAAAATTTAATTTTCATTAAATGACTTCTGCTGTCATTTTATTTCTATGATCAATTTTTAAGATGTCACTGTTAATTTATCTTTTAATTTTGGCTAATTTTCTTCCACTCGGAAATCTTTTCCCTTTGTGTATCTGTTTCTTGAATGCATTTCCAATCGAAAAGGAAAGATTCCAACAAGCAGGGTAACACTGGGAAAGAAATCTAACCAGTAAAAAAAATGAAAATTTCCTACACAGTATGCATAGATAAAACTTATAAATTATTCAGACCTATAAATCCAAACAAATAGACAAATGCTGGTTGGTTTATTTTGCTTTAGGTGTGGCTACTTGAAAAAAAATGAAAAAAGTTCAAAAGCCAGCTAGTTAAAAAAAAGTAATCTTTTAAAAAATGGTCATAATAGAGGGACTTTTCATGACCCAAGGCATTGCTGTTATACTTTGTCAACTAAAAGTCTCTCTCTCCATATATACAAAATTGTATACGTAACATGTCACTTTTCTGTAATATAATTCAATACAGGCAGCACCTGTAAGTAAAAAGGGTATCAATCAAAGAGTTATTGTAAGCTGGGAATTTAGTTCAGTGGTTCTGCCTCCTGCCTCACAAGTGCAAGGTCCTGAATTTGATCCCTGGTATACCCCAAAGAGTTATTGTGATTACTTTGGGTATAGATTGTAGTGACTTCACTTTTTTCCTTTTGTTTATCTATTTATTTTGTGAAACTCTTGCAGTAAATATGTATTACTTTTATACTAGTGGTGAATATCTATTACTTTAAAAATGGATTTGCCTCTGAAATTTAAGAGGTCTCATGGCTCAGACATTAAATGGATATGTACTAGAAATTTTAGCTAGCCACAATAAATGTACTGGCCTCTACACATGCTGGAGAAAAAGTAACTGGAAGAAGCGGTTTGCAGAAGACCCCAGAGCAGCACAGCACACTCAGAGGCTAAGTGTCCATGTGTATCTAGTAGAAGCAGAGAGACTATACAGTATATATATCTACATAATTCCATGTAATTATATAAAATATAAAGAGATTTTTTTTCAGCAGTGGGTGGCCTCAAACTTCACTTTGCAGCAAATTTTCCTACATTTTTAGATATTTGATACGTAGTAGAGTCTTATTTGATATTTTTAAACCAGGGAAGAGATCTCACCAAATTGACCTTGTCAAGGAAGCATTTTAGGGCCAGGGATGTAGCTCAGTGGTTCTGCCACCTGCCTCGCAAGTGCAAGGTCCTGAACTCGATCCCAGGTACCACCCACAAAAGAAGCATTTTAAACATCATCCAGGGGTGACAAATAAACACACCTCAGAAGGGAATTTTAAAAACATGTCTCTGACAGGCTTTGGAGAGGGGCGGCTAAGTGCTTGTTTTCACCACACAGCTTGCTTCAGTGGAACGGCTGTCATGTAACCTTTCACCAGTAATAAAGAGAATTACGTATAGAAAACTGAGCACTGTGCCCCTAGAGATTGTGTCCAGTCGGTTGGTCGGCTGGCCAGTTGGTGGGCAGGTGGATGGGTTTAAACAGCACTTACATATTGGTGTCCCGAGCACTGGCCCACTAAACCCACCCTCTATCCTAGCTCTGTTATCACCCTGATTGCTTCTCCTCAGTGGGCTGGTCCTCTGAGGACCCAGGACGCAGGCCCCATAATTCAATTTTCTGCAAAAAACATAGAGCAATAATCTACACTGGTGTAAATACTTAGAAAATTGGAAGAAAAATAGTTTCAAATTCAAGTAATGTTTTCCCTGTTCATCTACTGAAGTACCTTGAACAAAGACGGTGCTAAATTGAAATCTGATGAAGAATTACGTGCATGACTAAAAAATATTTCTTATAGACAATACAGTACCAAGTTTTTAACAGCAAGAGCAATGTCTTTAAGAAAGATCCTAGCTTCTTCATTGCATTTAAAATAGTCACTTTGTAGAGATTGTTCTGAAAAAAAAAAACAAAAGATTAGAAAGTTACAGTCTCTTATGTATCAGTCCAAATCCTCCTTGATATTGCAGGGTCTGATTCACTAGCCGGAAGTTACATCTATTCCTGGATTCCCATCGTGCTTTACGTGCATCTGTTCTGTTCGTTGCTTCCTATTACACACTTTTCTAGTCGAGCTGTACATTTTACGCTCCCTGGCGACAAGCTCCTCTTACAATTCATCTTTGCATATTTAGTGGTAGACGGAAGGCTTCTGAACAGGACCAGACCCCACGCCCCCCCAAATCAATCAACTTTTAGGAGGTGCTAATCTAACACGCCCGCGGCATCAGCCTGATGAAGAGTAGTTTCATAGATACACATCTGCACGCCTAGCAAATCTAAAATAATACGCTAGCACTCTGCAGTGAATCCACCGTTCAAAAGCCACTACGACGACGTTTTCACTTTGGCGCCCACATCTGAAGCAAGGAACGGGACTGCACGCTGCCCAGCAGGGTAGGTGTGAGGTAGGAGCGCCTCTTTATCCCTCACCGGCGCACGTAAGGGTGGCTCTGCTGGCCTCACACTGAAGGTGGAAAGTCACCGCCGGGCTTGTGCCCTGCCGCGTTAGCCAAGGCAATGCAGACAAGAAGCGGCTGGGCGGGAAGAAGGGAAACAAACTGTGAGGCGACGCGGAGCAGCGAGGTACTGCGGCTTTCTCCCCGTGTGGACCCCCGGCCGCATCTTCACGCTCTCCATGCGGTACCTGCCTCGTCATTTTACGACCTAACGACCTCGGACACCCGTATCCCACTTCCCAGATGACCAGTGTGACCTTCCGGCCATGTTGCCGGTGGGCAGTTGCAGACCTGGGTAGGGAGCAGCGTTTGTTTTAAACCCAAGAGACGGGAGGCCAGGGACGCCTTGATGGCCAGCCCCATCTCTCAGGGGCGTGAGGGGCAGCGTCTGCCCTCGGTTCTAGGAAGCTGGGACTGTGCTTCTGAGCCAGGCTCTCAAACCAAGTGAAGCCAGTTAGTGAATGTGCCAGCAGGTACGGCAGAGCAGCAAGGCAGGGCTTAGCTCCTTTTAATGAGCACAAGCTTATTCCTGCTTGTGAACTGGCTGGAGGGCTACACATTTTTACAGCTCATGCTCACAGCAAGGAGGCTTTAATACATTTTTTTTTCCTCTGTGGAAAACTTGCCAAGCGTCCAGGATTATTAGCAGAAAACCTATTTATGCACAAGTACCAGCGTTGAAGGCATCTGATCTGGAGATCAAGCATGAAGAGCATTCAAGGCCCAAGACCTGTCACTGACAACGACTCTGGATACAGACTGTCGGGAATTTAAGTCTCCTTAGTAGCCAACACTCCTCACAAGCCTATCTGACGAGAATCGTGAAATTAAATTAGGTCCTCTAAAACGGAAAAACTAACAACAACGTAACAGAAATCACGGGCTTGCTTTGCAGCAATGAGATCATTGCAGTGAAACAGGGAGATGCTCTGCTGTTTGGCCTGAATGGGTCTTGCGCTGACCAAGAAACACCCTTTCTCGGACGAACCGGTGCCGTTTCTAACGGAAGAAGTGCGCCGACCCGTCTCCGCGCACGGTCCCGCTTGCCTGATTCTCTACAACGTCGTTTTTCATACTTGCTCTGCCTGATATAACAGGAGTCGCTTAAAGACGTCCTTCCCTGGGACATAACTTGCAAGAGAAAAGTCGGACGGGACAGCGGACGCGGAAGGCTCCGGTCGCGGGTGGGCCGTGGCGCCCTGGATCTGTCCCCGCCACCGGTGGAGCTGCCCCAGAGCAGGAGACTGCAGCACCCGGACCCTCCCGCT